TACAGGGTGATTCAGTTATAATGTCATTAATTTTAACCACGTACTCGGAAGGCCTAATAAAGACAGAAAATCCAAAATTCTCGACATTTTAAAAGATAAGCAAATTACCCCTTACCTCTCGCTAATTCGGCGCCCTCACATTTTCTGATCGGGACCCTGACGGCGGACCACAAAGTATTCGACCATCGAAGCGAAACAGCGTTGCCACATCAGAACACATAAATAACAATAAAATATTCAAATCTCCGTTAATCGCATCTTTCGCATTATTTTCCAGCAAATTTGGAGATCACGTCATAAGTACATATGGAGAGAGTAGTGGAGGAAATAAAGCACTGAACCTCTGAATTCTGTGCAGTAAGATGGATCGTGATGCGGTTTTTTGCATTCGATTCGTTAGAGCGTCCAGAAAGTTTGTGACCCTATGTGATCAATGAGAAATGAAAATTGCATCGGTGCATAAGAAAAATGCATTTTTAAAATTGCATCTGGAAGAGTTAAAATATGAAAAATTTATAACTCGGAAAATATTGACGGACATGAGTTCAATTTTGCTACTCGGGGTTTTTTGGGGTCCCTCAACACGAATATCACGACGGCAACGGTCTCCGAGGTACCTAGTGTCCCAGGGTGGCCGGTTTTAATGTCATCTCCTGGAGTTTTGTGGAAATTCGTTATAAACATAGCCGAAACTCGTTACCTCGGGGTTTTTGGGATCGCTCAACACGAATATCACGACGGCAACGGTCTCCGAGGTACCTAGTTCTCAAGGGTGGCCGGTTTCCACGTCGTCCTGGAGTTTTGTGGAAATTCGTTATAAACATACCTGGTCTTTGATCCTGCGACTAGAAGTTGCAGGGCATCGGAAAACTGACTTGAAATCTGATAGATGCTGTTTTAAATTTTGTTGAGGAGCAACCTGCTATTTCGACAGAAACCATTTCAAAGAGGTTGGAGACATCCCAAGGCAAAAATATGTGAAATGTAACGTGGGGCTTCACTCAAAAAACTGCTTTTTGCAGTATCAAGCAACTTAATGCTCACAATGCACAGTATCTGTTTTATCGGATGTACCATAACACGTATTTTTTTATGTAAATATGGTTTTATCTATACTCGTGTCTTATTTAGTAGAAAAGAATTCTGTGTGATGGATAATATTACTAAAATTAATAAAAAAATAACTTCATGCACTAATAAACAGCAAAATACCTAGACGACGAATCATCACAAAAAGAAGCGCTAAACTTCATCCAGCGACAGCAACCGTCAATTTATGAGGTTTTTAGGAGAGATAGGTCAAGCCTGCTTATTTGTTATTGGTGATAGAAAATAGTTATTAGGAGGACTCTTAAGACGTTACGTTAACAACTAAACTAATGTTAGGTCACGTACGTAAATTTATGATAATTGTAGAATCATTTAATGGATAACATTATTTAAAGAGGGTTCCAGTATAAACTGGTAACATAGTAAATGACATTTTCCATATCAAAACATCGCAGAAATTGGAGAAAATTGTCTTAACACCTCCCGTTTAGTTTATACTTATCTCTATGTAAGCATCATCATTCGAAGTGTTATACATTTTGAAGATGACACGTGAAGATGAAAGACTTCTGGCAACTTGATTGCTTACGCGACCAATTACTGTCTACTCTATTGGGTAAATAAATTCCATATTCTGTGGAAACAATATATGTATTATGCAGAGAAATGAACAAAAAATTTCGTATTTATACTTTTTTTACAATATATTTAATGAAAAATTCCGCTTTATATTTCATTCATCTAATATTACGAATTTCGTAGGTCCGGATTATTATCTCTAATATTAAATGACCTCATTAGATTTTGAATACGTTTTCTCGATCCAAAATGTAGTTTATTTCAATATATTCCATATCTAGAGCATGTAATGCTATCATTTTTATATAGGTCATTTAATACAGACTCTGTGGAGGAAAAAGATAAAATAAATATGTCTAGGTTAAATTCATTCAGACTTAGATATAACATGTTTTTTTTATAAGAGGAAAACAAACAATTTCACAATTTATTTTAAGAGGAATTAAAGCTACTTATAAGGTACATCAACTACACAGATAAATGAAATTAATATGAAAATATCTTATCTCAATTTTCGATAAAAATTATTTTGCGAACAATGTTTTCTGTTATTTCGATATCATTGTTTCGAATTTGCAAATACAAAATTTTCCTCTGCGCCATTGAACAGAACCTAATACTGACAATTAGTAGAATGTAATGTAGTAGAAATAAACGATTTCCATCATAATGCTATTTTAGATGGGAATACATATCCACTCCACAATGGATAATACCGATAAGATAACAAATACAAAACGATTATTGGATTAATTTCCACAAAGTTATACCTGTAAGAGGAAAGTGCCAACAAATAGAAAAATGGACATGTGAAAATATTTAAAAGAAATACTTATAGGATAGGGGATCTCATACACACATAACCATCTGACATATGAATAAAAGAGATCTGAATCAATTGTCTGTTTGTATTTTATTAATTTCCTGCATTCAACTGTTTAAAATATTACTTAACTTTAATTTTATACTAGGCACTTTTGTTTTCAAATATCATATTTATTTTAATATTGGTATATTAGTACAGTATTAAAACACTATTAATAATTAACATCACCTTGTTTTACATAATTTCTGAATTTGTACCATAATTTTTCTGTCCCGTAATATTACTTGTGAAAAAAATGTGCAGTGTATCAGCGATTACAAGATTAAAATTATATAACCACATTGATTGTTTCAATAACAATATACATATAGGGTGTTTCTGAAATAAGTGTTGAAAAGGGTAATATAGGGCAAAAAAATGAGCAACTTTTACTAAACAACTGATGGTATAAACTAAATGCTTCTGTTTTCGAGAAAAAAATTAATTTAGAAAATTAACCATAAACGTAAGCCGATCATATGCATCTTGTGCATGTGCGTTGTGTATTGCAATATTACTTAGCTGGTGTATAAAATGTTTTTTTTTGCTTTAATGACTCCAAAATGATTACATCAAAACATAATTTCACTATGCGCGCGCTTCAAAACGTGTACTAAACTTATTATTAAACAAATAGTGAAAAAAATTGGAAAAAAATCCATTTTCTTTTTCTTTTTTCAACACCGTTCAAAAACTATTCATTTTAGAGAAAAAAAATGAAGAGGAAATTTGTAATTATTTACACAGTCAAATAAAAAAATTCGTGAATTTCATGCAATAGTTTTAATCGACATTTTATATGGGTTACACAAGTGTGCAAGTTTTACAAATTCAGTCCCTGAAAGTACTCGGAATGACAAAGGTATATGTTTAATAAACAGTCCTTCAGACCTCGTAGTTACGCCACAAATGCCGATCAACTTTGATCGACTGTAACTCATTATAATGAATTTATAAAGTTATTCTATTTGTTTGTTTATAAGCGCAAAAATTACGCATATCTTTAAACAATTACCACGGCTCTGCTAATTAACGGATTTCAATTTTTCTGGACGCACATTAAATTTTGAGTGCTCTTTTTTATGTGATAAAATTTTCAAGTATCTAGAAGTCTTAATTTAGGCTCAGTTAAATTTGCAAAAATTTCAATTTTTTTTCAAAAATCTGGATTGCAAAATTATTACTTGAAAACTATCGGACCGACTTTAACAAAAATTGGTGTGATGTTTTATTATATCAAAAATATTTTTTTGACCAAGTATGAAGATCCTACCTATAAGTACCTACTTTTAAAAAAATCGCAAAAATATTGTAATTTTTTTCACTTTTTTTTTGTTGTTTTTGCTAAATTTGCAATAATTATGTTGTATTTTTTTATTAGAAAATAGGTATATCTTATGTATAATTTAATTACGAATCTTTTTTTCCTCTTCAATTTTTCTGTTTTTACGGATGAATGTTGGTTTACTAGAGATGGCATACTAAATTTTCACAACATTCACTATTGGTGTGATGCAAGTCCTCACGTTCGTTGTACAGAAACCTCGGTTCCAGCAACTGTTTTCAGGGAATGTGTTTTTGGTGACAGAATTTTGACCGTCGTTTGGAAGTATGTTTATTAGCACATGCAAACAACTTTGCCCAATTTTTGTATAGCTTGTCGTTTATTGGTACGTAATTCGTTTATTCGTTTAATTTTTGTGTTACCTTTAAACGAGTTGTGAATAAATCTCACCACTTTCGAACACAAAATTTAAACCGCCAAAACCGCTATCAGCGTATTCGTACTGCGGCGCGCGGCAGTTTCGATATCAAAGGCACAGCTGGCTGCCGCACCAGGGAAGGATTTAAATTTGTTTAAACCTCATATATATTTTTTTAATTTTAATCAATTTATAACGCAATGTTTTATATCATCAGTTGCTTAATAAAAGTTGCTTATTTTCGTACCCGCTATCACCCTTTTCAAGGAACGCACTTATTTTAGAAACACCCTGTATAACAACTCCTTTCTCATTCTGGTTGCACATCCAATATATCAGATTTTAAAAAATGTATATTGCTTATAGTTCATTATTTGAAAAATTTTATTTAATTTATTTAAATAATTGCACACGAAATTCAATCATATTAAGAAACAACGATAATATGTATAATTGTTGATAACTATGAATAATAATTTCAATACAATTATTGAAATATTGAGAAAAATTATTGATAATCACTAACTTTAAACAATTTGGTCATTTTTGGTAAGCGAGATTTAAACAATTGTTAAAAACTTGTGAAAAAGTTTAATGATTCATTGTCTCTCTCGAGCTAAGCGACCTGAAATCGCAAATCAAAACATATTTTTATCGTATTTGTCATCGTTATCGGTAGCTATATCCATAATAACAGGATAACATTTTTAATAATAGATCAGAAAAGAGTATTTGCAATATTAGCTGATTGATAATTACTAAAATATGTTATATATAGGAGATAACGTATTTGAGACACATTAATAGAAGAATAATAACAAAGTTTGTTTCTATGATTCTAAATAAAGTGCTGTTATAGGTGAATTTAGTGCAGTGTTTTTTATGGACTTTTTGTTAAATGGGTATAATTTAAATACTGCAGTAAGTGTTCTTTGTTAGTGTTCAAATAAAAAAACACACCTAATATACTGTGAACAATAAAAATTATTCAACATTATGTCCTGTATAAAAAGAGTTCTGTTAATTCTGCCGTCTAAATCCCTTTTAACGTCTTAGGTCGGAAGTAGGGAATTCGATCCCGGTCCTTATTTGTAATATCGGGATTTCGGTATTATTTCAGGTTTGAGTGTTACAAATAAAAAATAAGAAAATCTACAGAAATCAACGTATTTTTTCGGTATACATCTAGCTAATCAAATCACTCTAACTAATTAGACTTATTGTCAGACTAATCAGACTTAAAATTACTCAGTTTTTATGTTAAAGCTTTTCTATTAATCAGTGAGTTCTCCTTAAACCTACATAAATTGAAAAAACCTTTATGCCAATAGACTTTGAAAATTAACAAAAATCTCTCTTAGCATAGACTAAATAGACGTTTCTATATTGCATCATTTTTAAAATTATGCCAATCCCGAAAATCTCGGGATCGGGAAAACTTAATCCCGAAAATTTCGGGACTGAAAAGTGGTCAGGATCCCGGGATCCCAACAATCGGGACAAATCCTCTAGTTGGAAACTTATTTAGGTCAACAGTTGTTATTTCCAATGTATCACTATCAAGATAAAAATAAATAATCCATTGTAGTTCAGTTAGTGAAGAAAAGTGACATTTATATGAAATAACAATAACGGAATAGTTTAAAGCCATATAGTTATTCTGTTAGAATAACTAACAACTACCTATAAATACATATGAATCACAAATATTAACTTTGAAAGACCCTTAAGTCATATATAATATTTGGTTAGACAAACGAGAAATTTTTGAAAGTATCCAAATTCGTTATGTTTCATGATTATTTCTACTTGCTGCTTGCTTAAGTTAAATTCACAAGCAAGTCGGAATTACGTTACTTATTAAGATAGTATAAGACAAATGCAGCAGAAAGATGCATCAACTGATAAAAACCGAAATATATTGAACCCTTAAAATGGAACTCTCCTGCAGTATTGGTCATAGCATTATTGACACACTCTTTAATAGGTTGCTTAGCGGCTCAGGTGATTAATCTCCTAATGGGAGGAAGTACAAGGGGCCTAATTTAGCCTAAGTGCTGTAGCTTTTTAAGCTACCCTCACTAAAATTCCAGAATTCCAGACACTTATGTATGAATGAGAGGAAGATAAGGCCCAAAAATGGTGGCAAGAAACCCTTGAATAGAAGGCGTTCTTAAACCGACTGTAAAATGATTCATTAAACCAAATTCTAGTCCAGGCAAGTTAGACCAAAATCACCCAGAATACGGAGATTTTTTTCTGATGAACCGATCGAATTGCGATTTTCGGCATTGTTTTCGGAAAAATATCGGGAAAAAAGTCTATCTATTACACTTTGGGGCTGGATCGAAACTGCATTGCGGGTGCATAAACTGCATCTTGGAGCGCATCAATTTTTCCGAATTTTTAAAAAATTGTAAAAATTGACTAAAAGTTGTAGAAATTTGTGTGCACGGGTTTTCGGGGTCGGAGATTCCGAATCTGACCCTGAAAAATATGCCCGACGGCCATGGGGCCTCCCAGGGGGGCCTTCTGTAAAACATCGAATAGCTGAGTTGCCTTCTAAATCTCCACTCGGGGGTTTTTGGGGTCGGGGATTTCGATTCTGACACTGAAAAGTATGGTTCATCAGAAAGAATTTTCTGATTTATTTTCTAACATGCCTGGTCTAACAGATTAATAGTAGTAAGACTTCTGCCAGAACATTACAGTCTGATAGTACTGGTTTGGTAGAAGTGTAGCATCTACTATTCGGAAGCAGAAAACCATAAACGGGAATCTGAGTTAAAGTTAGGTCAACAACTTTAAGATTTCGGAGATCCATAACAGACCTACAGACCATGGATGGAAAAATGTACCCATATATTCACAATCTACGTGTCTACGACCAGTTTATCTTTCCATAAAGAATTCCTGTTATATCCATAAGTGTGAAAGCTTTTATTTATAAATAAAAACACTATCTATAACCAACTTAAGAGAGATTCATAAACAGCATCACTTACATTAATTTTATTATTATGATAATGGCAGATATACAATGGTTCCAATCAAATATGGTTTATATTAAATCTCATATACAAAAATATATGACCAAGAAGCAATCTAGGTACATTATTTAGTTCATTTATCTTTTCAGTATTATAGGAGTTTAACCTATACTCGTGATTAATATTGTATACTCATGAAATAGATTATATTAAATAAATAGCTTACTTTTGCGCATATTTAAGATGCTCCATCAATTGTTACAGAAGAAGTGACATTGATAAATTATAAGTGCCATATTTATTATTTGAAGATAAAGACATTATAATACAATAAAGAAATGTCAAATTTGTAGATTGCAATCGTTAGTCTTACAAAAAATAAATACTGTATTTTTAATTTAATAAAGCAAATTTTATTTGTTATGTTCCATCATTTCGACATAATAGTACATTGTGTAACGAGTGAGCAAAAGGTGCCAATAGCGCCACGCGGGCGCCCAAGTGGCGCTATGGCAACTTTTCCGAATGAGTTGCACATACTACTTTCTATCACAAGTGCGAGTCGTCATGGTACCTATAGCGTAGGGGGTTATGTGCACGGAAAATGCCAGATAGTACAACGGCGTGATGCCATTTTTATAGCGCAACGCTCCAGCGTTGTACTATCTGGCACTTTCCGTGCACATAACCACCTACGCTATAGGTCCCATAGCGAGCGCGCGTGATAGAAAAAATATATTTATCCCCCAATTCCTAAGTTTCAAATTGTTCTATTATACCATATCACTAATTTTTTAGAAGTCATTTTAAGTAAAATGTATTTTTTTTTTTTCAGACATGATAAGCTTTTTAAGGATATCGCTAATTTATTTTATATTAGTAATAGTAGGAGGTAGGTAGTATATATTTTAATATCTAGTACACTGAAAAAAAAGTATTTGGATCAAATGAGCATTTTAAATGGAATTATTAGCCGTAAATTTTATTCTATTCAAAGGTATATACTTTCGTCAAACTATGTGAAATATTTGCTGTAATCTATAATATTTCTTAGAATTTATATTATTTGTAAATAAATATAAATAATAAATAAATTTTATTCAAATCTTTTATAGTTTTGAAATTTATTACCCCAGACTTTAGCTACAATGTCTCTTACAGTTCATCATAAACTGCAAACATATTTGTTTCAAAACTACAAGTTCTTTAATATATACAGTGTGACCACGGATTGAGTGCACGTGGGGTGTAAATGATAAAAAATTTTCGAGTTGAAATTTATGCTTCTGGGCTTCAAAATGTGTCCAATTAATTAATGCACAGTGTGTTTTTACGATGAATTTTCAAAAATTGTCAAGAGTAAAGTACATTTGTTTTTAATGATATCAAAAATATTTAGGTACTTAGGTTATTGAGAATTAAAAGTTATGACATATTGTCAATTTTCAATTTGACCGGCCAACTTCGTTTTTTTCTTTGCTTTCAACAAGACAGACACCCAGCGCATTCAACGCGAATCATTCGAGAATGGCTAGATGGTCAATTTCCTGGGCGGTGGATTGGGCGAAATAGCCCAATTCCTTGATCTCCTAGAAGTCGTGATTTAAATCTAATGGAATTTTTTTATGGGGCTATCTCAAGCAGAAAGTCTATGGGTCCCCGTTGAATAACGGTTTATTTGAATTGAAACGAAGAATAAAAGGTACAATTAATGCCACCCCCATTCAAAAAATCCGAAACGCCTACACAGAAATTACCAAGCGCGCTGAGCGATGTGTGTTGGTGGCAGCACATTTGAATAACCATTATATTATGTTTATTATATTAGTTACGTTTTTTTTTTCTAATAAATAATTAGGAATTTGTACTTGTGGTTATAAAAAATAAAAAACAAAGTTTGCTGATTAAATTGAAAATTGGCAATCTATCATAGCTTTTAGTTTTCAACATGGGCGTAACTAGGGGGAGGGGTGTGTACGATCCACCCTAGAAAACCTGGTGCCCACCCTAGAAAAGAAGGTTTAATATTATTATTTTTGGCATAAGTCGGTAAGTTCGTGACTGCTTGGCCTTTTTTAAAGTCAAATAAAAACGTGTTCATATTTGATATCGGTAAATCGCTGATTGCGAGCGAGAGCTTTTTTGCCCCTGGGCCCACCCCAAGCAAAAATTGTAGCTACGCCCATGATTCTCAACAAAAAAAATAGAGATGTACCGCGAACATGTCAGCTGGACATGTCCTGAGGACACTTTTCAAGATTGAAAAGTTGTATGGGCATGCGCGAAATTATTTGTTGCTTTCATAATTCCCGCAAAAAAAAATTTGTGGTTGGTACATGTAAAATTAAAGATATTTGGCCATTTTCTTGTAATTTTGTTGGTAATTGTTTAACTGAAACTAACATTTTAAAAATATAACCTCTTTTATATATCCATATATTATTATTTTTGGCAAAGTTGACGATTAGTAAATAGTAATCAGTTGATTCTTTATTTAATATTTAATACACAAATAGTTTATAAATGAAGTATGACGCCAAAATCAACAGTTTGGTTATATTTTTCTGAATTGAGTAAAAATCATTATAAATGTAACTTCTGCTCAAAAACAATTTTTAAGAATTCCAGGATGGAAAAACATTTAAATAAGTGTATTGGTTGCCCGGGGAAAATTAGAAACCAATTTATAAGTCTAAAGGTAGGTAATAAGTAAAATATTTCGACATATATTCATTAAAAGTAAATTTTGCTTTTTTGTACCCTCAAGTAGTGACCTGTGAACACATGACGTCACTCATAGGTGCCTTATTAGATTCATGGTCAAAAGTACTTTTCCCGACATGTCCGGACATTTCATCGACATGTCTGTAACATACTTTTCCGAAAAGTGCCCATCTCTAAGAAATAGTGTGACGTTTTGTTACTTTTAGCGATAATTACCTAGACTTCATGGGCAATNTTCGGAAATTTTCGTAAAAATTCTATTAAAAAAAATTTATTTTGTCGCTCTGTATCTCGAAAACATGAGGAGATAGACATATAGTTCATAAGGCAAAAAATTCTTATTTTTTTGTCGTACTATCACCCCCTGCATTTACGGGAGGTCTTTCTGAAACACCCTGTATATACATATTTACAAATATAAGTTTTAAGAAAAATTATAGATTACAGCAAACATTTCACACAGTTTCACGGAAATATGTAGATTTGATTATAAAAAAATAATATTTGCGGCAAATAATTCCATTTGAAATTATATGCTTATTTGATCCAAATACTTTTTTGCGTGTAGTTTGTAAGTATTGCCATAAAATTTAAAATAAGTAATTAAAATACAATACACACGGTGAGTAGGAAAAATCGCACCAAACTCCAAGAATGGATTCTAAACGTCAAAATAATAAGAAAAAACTCAAATGTTGTTATGCGGTTTTTATTTGTTTTCAAGCTACATTTCAAGTACTTTTCAATAAAAAAATGATTCTGTTAACCAAAGTGTTCTTCGATTAAATGTTCAAAAACACCACCATTGGTCTCCAAGCACTTTCTGCTTCGTCTACGAAAGACTTCTGTAGCTCTTCTGATTGCGGCATATCTTTCTTTAATAAGTGCTGCAGCATTGATGATCCGTAGTAGTAATCTGCTGTGAAGTTTGGAGATCTTGGAGGCCAATTAATAGGACCATCCAACGCGGCCAATCCAAAACCATGTTAACCTCTCGTTCAAATGTAGCTTGACTGGACGAGCGAAATGTACACGAGTTCCATCGTGCTGGTAATACATTGGCATTTTCATGTTTATAGGAACATACTCCAATAGTACTTGTAAAATATAACATTCTATTTTTCATTTGTTTTCAAGGTACATTTCAAATACTTTTCAATAAAAAAATTATTCTGTTAACCAAAGCGTTCTTCGATTAAATGTTTAAAAACACCACCATTGGTCTCTAAGCACTTTCTGTTTCGTCTACGAAAGACTTCTGTAGCTCTTCTGATTGCGGCATATCTTTCTTTAATAAGTGCTGCAGCATTGATGATCCGTAGTAGTAATCTGCTGTGAAGTTTGGAGATCTTGGAGGCCAACTAATAGGACCATCCAACGCTACCAATCCAAAACCATGGTAACCTCTCGTTCAAATGTAGCTTGACTGGATGAGCGAAATGTGCAGGACCTCCATTGTGCTGGTAATACATTAGCATTTTCATGTTTATAGGAACATACTCTAATAGTACTAGGTGTATTCATTTTGAAAATAATTTAAGTAGTTTCTTCTATAAATCGATTCTCCAAAACCTTATGCTGGGGTGTGGAAACCGTTGACAATGATCTTCAACAGCAGCATTAGAAATCCCTTTACAAAAACCGTAAACAAACATCATATTTGCATACTATAAATTCGAATAAGTTCTTGGCATTTTGTAATACTTTGATCGTACAAACGTGTATTCAAATGTTAAACTATTGCAATATAAAATGGCACTGACAGTGTATCGTCGTTTGAACTTGGAGCGTGACATACTCTAATTTCAAGTTTTTAAAATTTGTAACTACGCTATAACCTGAAAGCATATTTTAGTTTTTTCTTATTATTTTGACGAGTAGAATCCATCCTTGGTGTTTTGTGCGGTGCTCCCGACTCACTATATATCTACTGATTTTATAAATTACCTTATCTGTATCTAATAAAACAATTAAAAACTGTTACAGTAAGCTGTGATGACGTAATTGTGGCAATAAATGAAAATGTCACTGTAACGCCGAATGAAGCAGGCACCATCTATACGGTTTGGATGATTGAAAATAACCACGATTTTGATGCTGGTGATCAAGTGCTATTACCTCTTTTCAAAATTGTTGACAGTAAGTAAATTAAATATATTCTTTCCAAGTAACGGGTAAAAATTAGGCAGCTACAGGTGTTTCATGATGAACCGTACCGCTACAGCCATAATAACACAGCCCCACAAAAAAATGTGCTGTATCAGAGGCATGAGTACATATATTTTGTGTATTTTTTTTTGCTGAATCCAAATCCGCAGCTCAAAAATAGATTTACTAGGGCATTTTTTAGTAGAAGGTGACCTAAAATAGAGTGAAATAGTAATTGTAAGGTAAAGCTTTATAATGACATAATAAACAATTTGTAAATACTTTGAGAAAATATTTTAAAATATTATTTTGAGCATTGGAAAGAAATACATACTTCTAGGCCTAAGAGCAAATAACGAATTTTAGTGCGAAACGGTGTGAAAAACCATAGCCTTGTATTTTACACTACCAAATATATAAATGTAGTAATGTGATAGACAACATACTAAAAATATATAATATAACTTATCCCTCAAAGGGTTGGATACCACCTACAGACTAGGGTCCCACTTATCCCTTTAAGTCTCACATTTTTCTATTCAATATTTTACTTGAAATTTGTTACCGCGGATTTTTGGGGTCGCTGATTACGAATCTGATGTCTGAATCTGAAAACTCATGAATAAAAGATGGTGGATCGAACATGACGGATGTAAAACTCGGAAAATCACTCAAAATTTGAGGATTTTGGCTGAAATTTGTTACTCGGTGGCTTTCAAATTCGCCAATCACGGATGTAAGATTTTAATTAGGAAATTCTTAAATCCAGAATGGCGGATTGAAAAGTACCATAGAATGGTATTTACACCCAAAGAAATGCGTTATGAATGTTTAAAAAAGTAAGTCAATTGAAAAAAATAGTCAAATGTCTAAAAAGGAGAATCAAACACTGCAAATCGAATTTATATTCTTTGTTTCTCATTTTGCAACATTTTTTATTTTTATTCAAATGACTCAATTTCTAAAACATTAATAATTTTGGGTGATAAACACCAATTTCTATGGTACATACCCATTTCTATGGTACCTACTTTTGAATCCGCTATTTTGGGTGTGAGAATTTCCGAATTAAAATTTTATATTCATGATTGGGGACTTGTGTAACAAGTTTCAGCGATAATCCTCAAATTTTTAACGCTTTTCGGATTTTTATATTACAATTTTCGGTTTCGGACTTCAGATTCGTGATCAGCTACCCCAAAAACTCGCGGTAACAAGATTTAGGCAAAAATATTGTATATAAAAATGTGTGACTTGTGTGACTTAAAAGGGTAAGTGGGACCTTGGTCTCTAGGTGGTCGCCACTCCTTTGAAGAATAAGTTAAATTATATTTTTTTGGTATGTTGTCTATCAACCTACATTTTATATATTTGGTACCTAATTTAAAATACAAGGCTATGGTTTTTCATATTATTTTGCAATGACATTAATTATTTAATTTTAGCTGTGGAATTAATTCCCTCGTAGGCTATTGCTATTTTAAAACATTTCTCCAAAGTATTTACAAATTGTTGCTTTCATTATAAAGTTTTACCTTATCCTCACTTTTTCATCATAATATGTCAGGGGATATTTTAACGTTTTACTAAAAAGGCCCTGGTAAATTTGTTTTTGGGCTATGGATCCTGATTCAACATCAAAAGATATACAAGGTCTTGTATCTATGTCTCTGGTACAGAACCTTTTTTTGTGAGGCTATGTAATCGTTACTTATTCTGTGAAATGTATTTTTGCCTTAAGAACTTTAATTTTTTCGAATTAACCCCTTTTATAACCATAATGTTAATAAGTGTAAGTAATTAATTGCATTATTTTTTTAGCAAATGTTGAACCGACAATCACTTTTGTTTCTTCGGCCTTCCAATATGCTGTGTTGGAAAACAAAGAGGAAACATCATCTTCTATATTTTATGCAATTCAGTCTTTTGACTACGAGACTCAGCCATCCCAGTACCTGTTCAATGTTCAGCTGCAGAATTTGGACTTTATTCCCGTAGTTAATTTTATTATAATTAATATAGATGACGAACAACCCTCGTTGTCCCCACCACAATGCTCATTTGACGTAAGTTTTACTATCCAATCCGAACAAGTAAAAAAGTATTGCCAAAAAATATTTATTTCTTGCATTGGGTCTTGTTTGATAGAGATAGAAATTTTTCTATGCAGATAAGGAATACGTTGTCCCAATATTCTGCATTCATAGATTGTACAGCCCCACAAAAAAAGTTATGTACCAAAGATGTACATAGATCTTGTGTATTTTTTGATGCTCAATGCGAATCTGCAGCCCAAAAATCGATTTATCAGGACAATTTTTAGTAAAAAGCTAAAATGTGGTGAAATAGTGAGGATAAGGTAAAACTTTATAATGAAAAGCAACAATTTGTAAATACTACGAGAAATATACAAATTAAATCCACACCCATCCCTAACCAATGTTAGTGCAGAACAATGTGAAAAAACATAGCCTTGTATTTTATACTACTAAATAAACGTATAAATGTAGGTTAATAGAAAACATATTAAAACGACGTAATATAACTTATCCCTCTAAGGGTTGGAAACCACCTACAGACTAGGGTTCCACTTACCAATTTAAGTCACATAGTTTTCTAATCAATATTTTTTCATGAATTCTGTTACCGGGGGTTTTTGGGGTCGCTGATTACGAATCTGAATTCCAAATCCGAAAATTCCTGAATAGACGATGGCGGATCTAATATGGCAGATGAAAAAATTGGAATAGCATTCAAAATTTGAAGATTATGGCTGAAATTTATTATTCGGTGGTTTTCAAAGTCGCCGATCGCAAATATAAGGTTTTAGTTCGGAAATTTTTAAATGACGGAACTATTTTTATGTGGGGCTGTGTCATTATTTGTTTATGCCATAATAAAAGTAATAGATTCTATTAAAAACAACGCCTACCGGATTCTTGTGTCACAACGAGGATTATTTACTTTTATTTTAATTTCTTACATATTCCATTGTGGGAAAATTTCCAAAAAGAAGGAAAACTTGTGTTAAGGTTACATTTTACATATATATCTTTTTGATAAAAATAACAGTGACATATGGATGAGAAATGTATTCAATCATATATTACACTATCTCGTTTTTAGGAAAATACAATTTATACAAAGGACAACAGCACCTGCTTTAGTATAGTCTTAGACCCAGACGGTTGGTTAGACCAGATGACATTTGAAATTGTCAACAATAACGTAAGTGTTTCGCATTTACATTATTTGAAATCTATTTTGCGTTAGTTTGAAATATTTAACAATACAGGGTGTAGCTTTTAGTGGGGGTCAGTTTTTAACGGAAGTTATAATTAGTTTTTTAAAATGTACTTTTATACTTGTGTACGCCTCCACTGTAATATTCATGTATTACAAATAGGTACATGAATTGTAGGCAATCTACAGTGCATGTGAAGGGAGATAGTGCGGGTCATCAGTGACGAAGCGAAGGGCGTCAGTTGTTGTTCCGCATTTGGAGACAATACATCTAACTGTGGATTTGAATGTTTTTTTTTATCGCTGGAAGCCATCAACAGACTATTTATTTTTGTGTATTTATTTCATTTATCATTATTGATAACTGCTTGAGTTACTTGTTATGTACCTACTGTTTATGTGACGAACACCCACTCAACAAAAGTAACTCGCGGCGAATGGAATGGAATTGTGAATGCGCTGCGACAAAAGCGCGTCGTTATTTGAGGTTTCATTAGCTTCTCCAGCGGCGGAGTATGAAAATTACTAAAAAGAGGTTAAAAAAAAATAAGTTTTTACGACGGAATGTGAAAAAATAAATTATTGATACGTGTTTCAAACGGTGAAAGGAAGCTTTTGTCTAAATATGACTACCACTCAAAGTTACACCCTGTGTATTATTGCTTTAACTTTTTTCTGTTTCATAGGATGCACCGCACTTATTTGCATTCGAATATCGGGAAATTCCTGAGGATAACATTCATTCAGCAAACGTGTATATTACAGTTTTGGAAGAACTCAATTATCAAAATATACCATTCTACTTATTTGACGTCAGAGCACAGGTAAGAATGATAAAAACAATTACAATGTTATTACTAATTATGTTTCGTAACAGACCTAATGACGATTTGTCAATCTTTAGAACATAAACATAAAAAAGTTTCGGTTGTAGCTATATTTCTGAAAATTGCAATTAAAAATTATGTAAAGGTAAAAGGTTTTTTTTGTAAAATACATCTTAATATTTTTTATATATACGGACTACGAACGGATTCATAGGTATTCGGAGCATTAATAGTGTAAAAACAAATAAATGAATGCCAAATATTTTTTTAGTAAATCGACTCTAAGAATGTGAATGCATGGAAACCATGACCTTAAAACTGCAAAAATTCATTAAGATTTTCTTCAAAATACCCCCGCACCCATTTCTATGGAGATCTATTCATTTTTTAATTTTATATACATATTTAAAAATATAACAGTTCTTGGAATATTTCCTTTAATTCATATTTTTATAAATAACTTACCATTTTTCTTTTAAAAAAGTAATAGCGCAAGCCTAAGTAGGAGTAAAAAATAACATCGTGTTTATTATCAAATGCTATGCCTAATACTAGTTTTGAAATACTGTTACCTAAAAAAAGCGTAGCAGACATTGGATTTGTAGTTTTGATGAACTTGTACCCTAGTAAACATCAAATTTACTGGAATTATATATTCCAAATATGCAAATTAATAAAAAAAACTTGCACATCATTAATATATTTGCTTTTAGCATCATATTTATGTTAATAGCCTATATACCTGCAAAGCCTTAAATCCTGCATATAATGTAATAGTCTAGTCATTATAGACATGAAACAGCCAGTTTCGGGAAAAAATACTATTAGAAGTTTCTCTGCGGAATATTGTTAGGAGACGTGTTATAAACAAAATTTCAAAAAATCAACTCGAGGCTAGTTGGGAAACTTTGTTTAAACAATGGTCAAAGTTATGGAAAAGTGGATTTTTGACTCGCGTAAAAAAACTATTGTTCATAGCGAAAAAAAGTTTATACAAAAAAGGTAGGTATTAAATAAGCCTATAAAATGAGACAAGTCCGATTAAATTCCGATAATTTGTTTATGCACCAGAGTTCAAAAATGGTCGAAAATGGCCGTTATTTTTCAATTATTAATAACTAATGCAATTTTTATCGCAGACACTTGTGATTCAGCATTTTTTAGGCTTTTTGCACCCTTAATTAGAGGTACAAATTTCAACGCGAAAGCTTCAATGGTTTGGCGTTGGCGGAATTTGTTATCTAAGAAGATGCTATTTTCAAATCATTTTTCCCAAGCTCAAAGGCGTTGTGTAGTTTCGATCATTAGTTGTTTTTGTACCTAAATAGTTATATTAACATATGCATTTACTGAAAATTAAATTTGTTTAAAGATGACTGAAAAAATGTTAATATTTATTCAATTGTTTAGATAGTTACTTACATATTATAAAATGAAATAGTAACGTCTAAGTTGATTAGAAGCTGAGATAATTTTTTTTTTATTTAATCGTAGTGACCTTGATTATTAATATTAAGAGCCGAAATTTGGCGAGAGTATACATTAAGAGCTATATTTTCATGCCCTACATTAACATTAAGGTGAATTCAACTATTTAATTGCAAAAAAGAAGATTGCGGCGGTGCGTTCTATTACTCGGTCTAGAGTACGCGTGGGGAGAGCAAAGCGGAGCAAAGCGGAGCATGCGCGCTATGCAACTGGTAGCGCGCAGGAAAATGATCGAGCGGCTTCAAATCGATGGAGCTGGAAAAATTAGCCATATCTCGGTTAATAATGAACCTATCGAGATGATACTTTTTTTAATTTGTGAGATTTAATGTTTTATTTAGCCTCGCTCTTCGCACTCGTTCGCTAGACCGAGTAATAGTACGCATCGCCGCTATCTTCTTTTTTGCAATTAAATAGTTGAATTCACCTTAATGTTAATGTAGGACATGAAAATATAGCTCTTAATGTACACTCTCTCCAAATTTCGGCTCTTAATAATTAAGGACACTGCGATTAAACACGTAAAAAAAATTGTCTGAGCTTCTATTCAACTTAGAACAACGATTTTTTTTTAAATTCGAAGAAAAATAGTACTAACTAAACTATAGACGTTAGTATTTCGTTTTATAATTTNTTTTGAAATACTGTTACCTAAAAAAAGCGTAGCAGACATTGGATTTGTAGTTTTGATGAACTTGTACCCTAGTAAACATCAAATTTACTGGAATTATATATTCCAAATATGCAAATTAATAAAAAAAACTTGCACATCATTAATATATTTGCTTTTGCAAAGCCTTAAATCCTGCATATATTGTAATAGTCCAGTCATTATAGACATGAAATAGCCTGCATCGGGAAAAATACTATTAGAAGTTTCTCTGGGGAATATTATTCGGAAACGTGTTATAAACAAAATATCAAAAAATCAACTCGAGGCTAGTTGGGAAACTTTGTTTAAACAATGTCTCAAAAATCCTGAATTACAAGTGTCTGCGATAAAAATTGCATTAATTATTAGTAATTGAAAAAAACCGGCCTTTTTCGACCATTTCTTGCGCATAAACAAATTATCGGAATTTAATCGGACTTGTCTCATTTTATAGGCTTATTTAATACCTACCTTTTTTGTACAAACTTTTTTTCGCTATGAATAATAGTTTTTTTACGCGAGTCAAAAAACAACTTTTCCATAACTTTGACCATTGTTTTAACAGTTTCCTAACTAGTCTCCAGTTGATTTTTTTATATTCTGTTTATAACACGTTTCGGAACAATATTCCGCAAAAAAACTTCTAACAGTATTTTTTATAATGTAAAATGAAAATAATAATTCAAACAAAATCATGATATTGGAAAAAATATATAAATTCTTTATATATTTCTTTATTTCTTAAAAAAATTAAAAAATCGTTTTTTATTTTGGGAATAAANGACAATTTTGGAGCTCTTGCGCATAAACAAATTATCGGAATTTAATCGGGCTTGTCTTATTTTACAGATTTATTTAATACCTACCTTTTTTGTATAAACCTTTTTTCTCTATGAATAACTTTTTTACGCGACTCAAAAAACCACTTTTTCATAACTTTGACCAATGTTTTAACAAAGTTTCCTAATAGTTGATTTTTTGATATTCTGTTTATAACACGTTTCGGAACAATATTCTGCAAAAAAACTTCTAATAGTATTTTTTATAATGTAAAATGAAAATAATAATTCAAACAAAATCATGACATTGGAAAAAATATATAAATTCTTTATACATTTCTTTATTTCTTAAAAAAATTAAAAAATCGTTTTTTATTTTGGGAATAAACAATCCAACATGATCACCAATCCCTGAATAATTGTATTTTTATATCAATGATACAGACACTTCTCCCATATAAAAGTTACACTAAATCTGTTTCTTCACACTTTAAAGGGTCTAGCCGTACTTCCATATCGTAACCTATGTTATATTGTAGAGGGCGCTAATAGTAGTTGATCGAGTAGATATTAGCTCTATATATTAGTTAATTTAGGAGCTATTTGAAAAAAGTGTCAATAGACAACTTTTTTTCAAAGTTAATTTCAAAGCTAAGAAAATAAATATAAATGGTACTCTTTACAGTGTATTTTATAGCAGTTTCCTATGGGCCAAGCCTAAATAAAAGTATTAAAAAATGGCAAATAAAAATTTTGTCAATCAGATCTAATTGCATTACCACTTTGAAAAAATGTAATAATTGTCTATCTCTTGTCTAACAACATGCCAAGTTTTATTAAGATCCAAGAGGTGCAACGACATGTTGAAAAAAAAAATTAAAGTGACCGAATTGTGTTTTTGATACATGTAGATGGAAAGTTTATTCTATTTCATAAAGTGGGATTTGTACTAAATTTCCAATGTATTCGCGTGTTTTTTCGTAATTTGTCTGCTATTTTCGCGTTAAAAAGTTGATGCCATATAACAGAGGAATTTAAAGGTATAAAAATTAGGGGAGAATTTCGTTTAAAAAAAAATAAAATGAAATAAAGACCCAGAAAATAAGAACATCCTGTACAATCGGAAATAATTTGGAGAAACTGATTTAGAAGAAAATTTTATTTGACTTGATTTATCTAATTTTGAAACTGTCTAGGATGGAGCGGGCCACTCCACCACACCGAGCGAGTTGGTGAGGGCTATAATAAATGTAAACGATTTACCTGATACTCCTCCAGAATGGACAAGTTTCTTCATGTCCGAGCAGTTCTATGAGCAATCAGAACAAGTAAGTTATCATCAGTGACTAAAATAATAAAAGTTTTATCTTTAGCATCAGTTCCTAGTGCAATTTTGTCAGTCCCAAGAATGTTAGATTCCACTGTAATTTTATTACATTTGAAGATATGGGAAAGTAACAATGCTTTATTTACTAAATTTTCATGAGGAATTCTATTTTTTAATCCTTCTGAAAAAATTTATCAACAAAGAAAGTTTTACTTTTTCAATATCTTCAAAGTCAACATAGTTATAGAATATAACATTTTACTGTGATGACCCTGTACATTTATGAGAAATTATGTTCGAAAATCTTCACTTTGAGGATAGATTTGTCGACTAAAAATAAGACAAAAATTTCATATATAAACATGGGTCCGCAAATTCACCCTACGCGAGTAACTTCTAACTGTTTTGAAGTAGAGGGATAAGTTTTGCACCATATTTAAAATCATCTTCCAACGCGTCTACCTCCCCTAGGGTGGATTTACGGACCCATGTTTAGGAAATTTTTGTCTTATTTTGAGTCGACAAATTTACCCTCAAAGTGAAGTACCACTATTTCCGATCACCCAGTATAATTAATTAAAACTAAATTTATTTTGATCCATGGAATCAGTAAAAATGAATAAATAAATAAATTTAATTGATCATTACGACAACATCGTTTTGGGAGAAGTGAGAAATGTTAATATTGAAGACTAATGGGCACAATAAAAAACTTTCAGACTTTCGAAGTAATGGCTATAGACGGAGATTATGGACTAAATTATGAAATAAACTACAAGGTACTATGGGAAGATGACGAGGAAGGTAAGTGAAATACAATAAGTAATTTTTAAAAGTAACTAACTGTCGATTTGAGCAATATATTATTTACTATACTCCTTCATTGCAAGTTTTTATTAGTTCTTCCAAAACATAAATACTGTCAAACAGAATGGACTCATTCAGTAATATTTAAGTTATAAGTTATTTTTAATTTCTCTAAGCACTTAACCTCCAATATGGCGCAAAAATGAGGTCGACAGCTTTAATATCAACCGTGACAAAGAATTTGTAATTCCTTTAATATTTTAAACGTTGTCTACCGCTCGTAGAGCATCTGTGAAGTTACTCCACTCGACTGACTCGATCCGAGGCACAGTGAGCGAAAACGATCAAAATTCCGTGCGAGGTAGTAAAAGTTGTCCAAATTGGGATATACTTTTTTAAATACTCGTATTTATGTCCACTTTCGTATGTCACTGAGACAATTGCGATATTTTAAGATCTCAACTTGCGATATCTTAAATGCTCGTATAAACTACAATCATAAAATCATAAAAATTCGACTTTTGAAAAAACCTAATTCGCCCGGAATATTATATGGGTTATTATAGCTAACGAGTGATATGACGTCACCACATGGCTTCCGTACATTTTGCACGCTCCATCTTCATTAACGATTTTGAGGAATTGTTGAAAAAAAATTTTGTTTTTTTTTTCACATTAACAATGCTAACGTTCTGAAAATATATGATACAAATATGCTAAATGAGCCCGTTGTGTATAACAATCTTACTTCACATTACAGCCAGTTACATTAGTATCGACAACTATGGAACCATATCCGTGAAACCAATCGATAGGGATAAAGATGATATTTCTACATATGTATTTGAAATCGTGGCATACGAGGTACCCGATCCGATTTGGAACACATCGTTGCTCATAACTTTCTTCGTCCTCGACATAGACAATAATCCGCCCTTGGTAAGGTGGATTTTGGACGCCTCATTTGATAATGTAACTTTCCCTGTAGACGACGAAACCGAAAAATCTACAGAAATGAGTTTGCTAGAGAACACCGATGGAACTTTGAATCTTACGATTTTTATAAGAGACATCGACACGGTAAATAAGTTTAAAACTAGTGCTAAAGTAGTAAACATTTATTTCTATGCAGGGGCAAAACGCACAATTTACAGTGGAATTAGAAGATCTTCAGGAAAATGAGATAGAGTATACAGATGCTTTTATGATCGTCCCAACAGCTGGATACAGGACGGATCAATTTCAAATTATTGTAAAGAATGTTTCTTATATAGATTATGAGCTCCCCGGTTGGACTGACATTAGCTTTAACGTGAGTATGATAAAATACATTTACTTCAATATGACATAGCTCATAAATTAACAGCCACACACAAAAAAAGTCCTGACCTGAAATTGGTAAAGTAGAACTACCATACTATGTATTTTGACCTCCGTAAGCCAAATTTCATTTTATCGTGTAATTTTTTTTAAATCTTGGACTATGCCAAAAATAGCCGTTTTTCCGACTAAAACGAGCACCAGATGTCGGCAAAACTAAAAATCAATGCAATTTTTATTCAAACATATGTTTTTCCATGTATTTTGGAGCGCTAAATTTAATATCAAAAATATTCTACTACCTATACGAATTTGTGCGAGTATTTGCCAAAAAACACACCAAATAAGCTCTGGAGATTTAAATGTTTTTGCGACCAGGACACATCCAAGTGGTGAAGGCGGGCAACGGAAGTTTCTGACAAAGTTCATGGCAAAAACAGGTAAGGGTATTCGATGCAGGATGTCGGAAGCTCAGTATAGACGGGCTGTTGGACATAGCGTAGAGACATTAAAATTAGATCCAATGGATTGGATCCAATAGGTATATATAGAAAGCCAACAATGTGTCTAATACAAAAATTCGTTCGTTTTTAATATTTTGCTGCCATCAAAGGGTCGTTTTTGGCGATAAAATAGTTTATTTTGTGTGTTTTTGGCAAATACTCGCCCCAGCACGTATCATAGAATATTTTATTTGCCTAATCTAACCTAACCTAACCTAGATTACTCATATCCTATGTATTTTTGGGTGCTGAACACGAATCTGATGTCCAAACTTGGAGGGCCGTCCTTTTTAGATCAGGTTAAGCTATTCTTAAAACGGGCTTGAAATTTTTCGATAGAATTGAGTTATTTGCATTTTTGCGCTTGGAAGGGCACAGTGCTCTTTTTTGAGATCCGATTTTTTTACATTTCTTTTTTCAATATAATTTTTCGGCCTTTTTGCCCCAAAAATACATACAGTCGTCTACGTTAAAATTGGTGTAGAGTCGACATTCTTCATAGTTACCAAAGGTATTGAGATAACTGCACATTCAATATAGAAGCTTGTTCCTGCGTTTAAATAAAATCTGAACGATGAAAATTTTTTTACTATTCAAATTTGGTTTCAGTACAACAAAATCTATAAAAAATTATATATCTGATCTAAAACCAAAAAAAAATATTTTTTGTCGGCCTGCGTAATTAGTAATACTGATGACTGTAAATTTTTATATGTGAATTATCACCTTTGTTGGTAGATTAATATAAGTATACCATCCTAGGTATACCATCCGGAGCACCTTTTAAGAATTTTTTGACATGTGATTTGACATTTTTTATATATTGAAGTATTGATAAATATGTTTCACATTTATCGTTGCTCCTAGCATCGAATATATTTCCCATAAAATTGATTAGTCCGTGTTAAAGAAGGTAAAATAAAACGTTTTTCGAAAGTAGGTAATTAGTCTGTAAGACTAATTGCATCTTGTGGTCGAAAATGTCGACTTTTTTCTAGGTGTGTACATGTAAGGATAAGTACTATTCGCATAATACTAAGAAACAAAAAGAGGCAATGTCTATTTTTCTTCTAAACGCTTCACATGGAACTTAGATACTATAAAATACATATATAAAGTCTGTACAATATTTTTTGATGATATAGCATTTCAAGAAAAGAATAAGCCAATAAATTTTCGTTATCGGAACCACTGTAACAATTTACCACGGCAGGGGCGTGTCTTGAAATTGTCCGCATTATTTTCAGATTATAAACATCAACTCGTCGACTGGGAATTAAATTCCTTTCTTTTATATTATTTCACCTCCACTGATTTATTTTAATAAAAAATTCCACTGAAAATACACAGGACGATACACTTACGAAGAAACACGCCTTCGTAACTGCAAAACACAGTATGCACTGTAAGCTGCTATGGTGAACGCTACGCCGCCAAAGCCGTTCTATCTCGTCGGATATCGTACGGACTGTAAGTGTAGTATGTAATAATAAGTAACAGCAAAAGTTAACAAAATAATAATTTCTTGCTCATAACGAAAGCGATTGTTGAAAATAATTAACAGTTGTCTTTAGTATTCCACGGTTAATCGTCTCTGGCAATCGGTAGATAAATATCCATTTTAAAAACGAAAATGACCGTTCAATCTAAAATAATGGAAGTTTTTAATACTTATTGTTAGATGCTATTTTTACTGATGGTAGCGAAGTATCAACTACTTCACATTTTAGTAATACCACTATCCGCATCATTGTACCTATAATAACATGTCTGCCTCTGATTTGAAGCTTCGCATTGACCAATGCGTGTGTGTGAGTTTGACGCTTCGCTTGGTCGAGTGTATGGCTCGTGTTTTTTTGTGGCAGTCAATAGCATTGTGTATTGTGATCATAGAGGGGCGCACGGTTTAACTACAGATTTAGACAATGTCTACTACTACAACGCGTATTGTTTTGATAGGTTCTAACAAGAGGAGTATTACGCCCAGCCAAGGAAGATCATATATTGGTAAAAATTACTTTAATTGATTACAATGACGAAATCCCTGAATTTGCGAGGACCGAGTATTATGTATCTATAAACGAAACTGCCAAAAAGGGCGAATTTATAATACAAATCTTGGCAACTGATCTTGATGCAGAGGATAAAATTTTAGAGTAAGTTACCATTAAGTACCATAAGTATACATAATCTTATGTTAAAGGAATCGATTTATGATTAAAGTTTTCTGCATTAAGGAAACTATTAAATTCGAGACAACTAACTTAACTATGTTCTCAACTAGATTCTATATTTTTAATGTTTTAAATATATATGAGAGGTTCCAATATGGTTGATGTATACCAAGAAAAATTGTGGTCCAAGGTGGAAATCCGGGGGAAGTCATGAAGTCATGCAAAGGGGTTTAGAATAATAGCAATTAACTGTGAAACCTTAGTTACCTAAATATTTAATGCTTTTTTATACTTTCAGGCACAGCCTAATTGGGTCTACATATGCGAGTCAAATTTTAGAAATCGAAACAGACACAGGAAATATATATGTGAGTGCAGATAATGCATTTGACTATGATACAGTTAACCCGATATTCGTCCATGTTAGAGCCACTGATAAAGTTGGCCATAACACTACCGTACCGTTAACCATAAACTTACTCGATGTAAACAACAAAGCACCAATTATATTTGTGGTAAGTTATACATTTGTGTATGTGGAAAATAATTATTTATTGGTTCTTATAAGCCTGGTTTATTTGTGTCTATACATTTTCCGAACTAAGAAAAGTCTCTATTTGTTAAAAACAGTGCATTACGAGATTATTTCAGAAAGTAACAGCAAACAATATTTCAAGAAAGGAAATTTTTATAAGTAATGAAACTGACAGGGAAGGATGCTATCTTGTGAAGTAAGGTTTGCAGGCTTCTATAGTGGTTAAACAATTTACGGGATAGTACTACCTTTTGTCAGAAAAACCGGTTTCTACTTCGGAAGACATTTTTAACTGGAGATTAATCAAAAATTGAAGTCAGTTTGTACTGATAAGTATCTAAAACACTGAGTTTCATCATCATTCAGTCCAGAAACAAAGTATCTTCGACAGCTTAATTGTTGCACCCACCATTTACAAGCAAGAACACCAAGGAATTAACTCCATCACTTACAATCAGCCTAAGTTATTGGTACAATACCCAAGATAAACGAAAAGAAAAGAACCTTCTACTATACGAACAATGATATGCGTCTATGGTAACTCAAGAACGATAGGAAGAGATTTTTTGAGGATGAACTTCAAGAACGATGTACTCTAAGGTCACGATGTATACATAACCTTGACATGATTACATGCTAGGATGAGGTTTGAGAGCACAAACACTGTGTTACTTAAAAAATAACAGAAGAGAAATAATCGATTGAGCAGAAGTCACATATGGAGCATACAGATAAGCAATATAAATACAGTAAAATTGAAATAATTTCAACAGAGAGCAGTGGCTTGAACAACGAAGCAGTGCATAGAGCAAATATCAACCAGACAATGTCCAGTTTTAGAATTTCTTCTATAGAAGAGAGAGTTCGGAAACAATTTACTTTTTGACCCATTTAATCCAATGGATGACCTAAAATAGTCAACTTATAGTCAAAAATTACTAATATGAATTTTTTTATGAAAACATCAGTTTCATGCTATTATTAGAATATCCATATGCACCTCATGTTGAAGACGCGCTTTACTGTAGTGGAACTCTTTCATATGGTGTCTGAAGCTTCAGATCTTCCAATATGCCCGTGCATATCCCCAATCCTGCTTTTTCTCATTGCCTCGTCTTTCAATTCCTGATGGACACTTAGGAGGATTATAATTTAACAATAATGGGGAAATAGAAGAAGTGACTCTTGACTGAAGTCACAGTCAAAGTGTGTTAGTGTAAACGTGTTAGTTGTTAGAGGTAACAGTAATTAAGCGTATCTTTAGTACATTAAATTTGCTGTTGCTTTTTGGAATGTTTGTTCAAAACTATTATTTATTCTAATATTCACCTGCGCTCGGCTACTATAATTTCATGAACAATGCAATACTAAGCAAAAATATTCAAAAGACACAAAAGTTAATAAAATAACTTTTTTTACACTTGAAACATTTCAGGCAGGCCCCTTATAATTTCAACATCACCTGTTTGTTTTATCAAATTTTGGACATGATGTCCACTACGTCGTGCACGGGAAGTATAGGTCACTGTAACGCCTTAGCGTGGAATTTACAGTGACGGTTGTTTCGGGCACCAGGTTTTGTATGTAGTACAGAAACGCTACTACTCAGACAACTACAGTGCATGAAGACATGGTATGTCCATAGGTTTAGAGAGACAGAGAGCGGCGCAATGAATCGTTATCAACTCTGGTATGGAATTCTCTAACCAGTCCTTCGGTCAACTTATCTCTGGGTTCCACTTTCAAACAGCTGCGTCTCTGGTGTGATGTTCTTTTATTTAGAACTGCTCAGGTTCCAGTGTAGGGAGTTAGCAATAAAACGGCGCATACAAAATATACATCTATTCAACCAATTTCGTTGTTAACACAAATCAAATTCCCTAATATACAATCGTACCCATGAAAATTTTTTAACTTATAAAAGTCTGAAGTTGTAATTGGTCTTAATTGAAAATAATTCGTTGGTTGTTTTACCAGTTCTACGACTCCAGGATGATCAAGCCTTTTGTCGAAGTCTGTTTCTAAAGTTTGTTGTGCTTTATTTTCAGTATTCCTATACTGTGCTCTAGTTATAGCATAAATAGAATTACAAACATTCTTAGTCATAGAAAAGATGTTCTATCGATTTTGAATGTTTGATAATATGTTGGGGTACAAAGTACTACCCCAACATATTATCAAACATTCTTAGTCATATTTTTTAATTCGTCAGATGATATATCAATCCGTGATAATGCATCTGCATCTACGTTGTCTTTCCCTTTAAAATATCTTACCACGAAGTCGTACTCTTCAAGAAGTAGCCTAAATTTCGTTAAACGACTTGACGGATTTGTCATTCTGAATAAATAAATCAATGGCCTATGGTCTGTCAGAATAATAAATTTCCTACCAAATAAATATGGCCTAAAATGTTGTACGGACCAGGTTATAGCCAAAAGCTCTTTGGAAATAACGCTGTAATTTTTCTCGGATTTATTGAGGGATCTACTTGCATTATGCTATTGGTTTATCATCTCAATTTGAGATTACAGCACCGATAGATGATGCTGAGGCATCGGTCTTTAATATAAATACATTATCTTGAGAAAAATTTGGATATTGTAATATAGGGGAGTTCATTATTGCTTGTTTTAATAGTTCAAAAGACTGCTGACATTTATCTGTCCATACAAATTTTTGGCCTTTCTTTGATAAATTATTTAAGAGCAATATGTGAAAAATTTTTTACAAATTTCCTATAATAATTTGCAAATGCTACGAATCTCTTAGTTCCGTTAGAATCTTTAGGAACCGGATAATTTTTAATAGCTTCAATTTTTGAAGGATCTGGAGAAACTCCATCAGCAGAAATAACGTGCCCTAAATATAAAATATCTTTCTTCAAAAATTCGCATTTGTTTGGATTTAGTTTCAAATTTACGTCTCTTAACCTTTGAAGAACTTTTGTTAAGTTTCTGTTATGATTTATTAAATTATTTCCAAAAACAATAAATCTAAATAGACGAAACAAGATTCATATGTTAGTCCTGACATTGCTACTGACATTGCTCTACTGAAAGCATGAGGACTAGACTTGAGTCCTTGTGGTAACCTTCGTAGCCTATATTGCCCCCGATCAGTGGGAAAAGCTGTACATGGTCGGCTGGACGGTTCTAACTCAATTTGGTAATAACCCTGTGATAGGTCAAGGTGTGAAAAATGTAAAGGCCTTTACTACCGTTCTTAAGTCACTATTTCGTAAACCGTTCGCAAATGCGTTAATCGCCAGTTTTTCATTTACTCCGTTTAAAATTTGAACAGCGTCTTCTTTACCTTCGCTTTGTGTTATTATAAGGTCTACAAATAAGTTTTCAATTAAACTGCCGAATTCCTCGATAGTTTTGTTACCTTGCTTTGCATTATTTAATTTTGAGGATAATGCTGGCTCCGACTTTTTAGTTATAAAATGGTTCCTTATATCAGTAATTAGATCCGCGTTAGAAGCGTACGTTTTGTTTAATCTAATTTTCGCATTTTGTGACAATCTAGTTTTTAAAATATATGTTAATAATTTCTTTCCTGTTTGGTTTAACATAGCGTCATATAATTCGATGGCATCGATTAGCTGTTTAGTTACATTTTCATTACCGTTCATCTCAGGCAATAAAGTTGCTGCTGTTTTTAAATCAAAATTTTCCGCCATTTTGTTGTCTTCCGAACAATCTGAGTCGAAAGAATCTGAATTTGACTGAGTATTGAAGTTAGCTGAATTTAAATTTTGATTCACCGTCTCAGGTTGCTCTGCGAGAGACAAAACCTGTCATCTAAAATTTTACTAGTAGCCTCTAAATATTTGTTTATAGCATCCGCAAAACCCTTAATTTCATCTTTTACTTTTATATCTAAATTAGATTTATTACATATGTCCTTTAACTTAACAAAATTATTTCTTAGTTTATCTAATTTCCTAAACTTACGGTTTATCACTTTAATGTCTTTTCTTCGTGCACTATTGTCTTTAATTATGTTCCGATAGAATACCTTTATTTCCTCCAATAAATATCTAAATTCATTTCCATTGGACATTTAGTTCATAAATTATTATTAATAGTAGGTATTTCTTGACCATTACCTAAAAACCTAAAAAGAAATTTTCTGGGCATTCCCTTAGACGACCTCCTGGCTTCTAGTAACTTCTGCTCTTATCTTCTTTTCCAATATTTTTTTGCATTTTCCAAAACAGTAAACCATGATAATTATGCAACCCATTATAATTACTGCGGCTTCTATGGCAATTTTTATTGAAAATCCATCTCCCGTTCCAACTGTATTGCCTCCACTATTCCCGTCTTGGGCAATAATAACTTCTTCCTTTGACTGCGATTTTCCCATTTTTTCCCATTTGATTTTAATTTAGCTTTCTCCCTTATACTGACTGCAGGATCGCGATGTGATGTTCTTTTACTTAGAACTGCTCAGGTTCCAGTGTAGGGAGTTAGCAATAAAACGGCGCATACAAAATATACATCTATTCAACCAATTTCGTTACCATCTTCTTGCTTAGACAAAAATGTATTGCTCCAATTAATTCTGTTGAAACGGATTTGTTTTCAGTTCAACAATTTGCCAGTCGGCATATTAAATAGAACAATAACAATTATAAGTAGTTACACATAATGACAATAAATATCTTAACTACTACAGGGTGTTTAAAACTAAATAATATAATTAATTTGATTTGACCATCACACTGGTGATGGACGGGTGATCAGCAAATTAATTTTGTATTCAATTTCACTATCAGGTCTCTTCTATGAACGAGGGCGGCAACGTAATAATTCCTAGCTGGACCACTCTCGCGCTCGTGGCTGGCTAATCAGCTCAACTGGTCTCGCGGCTGTTTACTGTACCAACAAAAAATCACTTCGATACAACAGATATTTGTATATTATGAGAAAAAGTCTATATATTCAATGATTTTTTTTTTATTATTTCTCGAAGACTGTTTTACGTCCATCCATCAATTTAAAGAATAAACCCTTAGGAATCAGGTTTGAAGATTTGTCGTAGCGTCGTCGCACACAAGGAATTACCTTTCTGTCATACGGACAGTCAACCCAGGGAATGAAATACGCTTTAATCCTAAGCTACATAATTAAATTGAATGAGGCAGATGAGTGGCCAAGACTATCCTTTTACCTATTTTTCATATTTCGACATAACAAAAGTCCTTTTTAAGGGAGAACGAATTACCGTTGATGAAAATCAACAACCGGGTACAGCTCTAAATTCAAGCATAACGGCCTCAGATATAGATACCACCGCAGAGTTATCAGCGGAGATAGACTGGGATGCGTCTTATGTCATGAAGAATTCACGAAGACTGGATATGGATGAGATAATAATTAGCCAGCAAGTAAAGTGAGTAGATATATTGAATATTAATCAATTTATTATTTGCTAATTGTCAATTTAAATAAGCAAACTTTTTGAACATTTACTTTACATTCTACATTAAAGATGATATAATCTCTAATTATAAAGAATATATCGTCTTATAGGTTCTTAGATGTGGAATATCGAAGAGTGGATGAATCAGATGACACTAATAGAGACATAGCAATTGATTTAATAGTAAACGACAATAATCCTAATGGGACAACTCCCGATTTCGAACTCTTCGATTCATTATTCATCTCTTTGAAAGTTACGGATTGGATGACTGATCCTGAATTCATGGACAAACAAAACACATCAGGTGAGATTATATTCCAATAATAATAATGATATAACCCTCGTAAAATAAACATTATAAAACTAAATAAATTTGTCTTAGTATTTAATCTGATTTAGCTAGTATGAGATACAACAAATCACATTTTAAATATAACTTTCTTAGAGCTGATTATAGTACTATTTCACATACAAACTACCCGTCTGCAGAAACACGAAACTTCAAAATGAAAGTGATGATTAGTAGCACACGTATTTATTATAGATTTCGGTACACTAACACCGATACTGTTAACAAAATTTTATATTATTTTTCAAAATCTCTTTGAGAATGTGACGTTTTTTTACGACAATCGCCTCCTTTTTTATAATTGAAAAATATATCACATTATGGCCATATTGATTCTCTAACAGATTATTTTTTATAATCAAAATATTTAAAATATATAAGTAATTCTATAAATTTGCAACACTATTAAAACAAAAATATGCCAAACTGATTTTGAAGTATATTACTTTCCATTGTTGATAGAAATATAGATAAAATCAAGTTTAATGACGACTATTCATTATGGTTTTCTTATAACACTAGGAAAAAAACTCAAGAATCTACTAACGAAAATTTTCAAATGTTCGTAGAAAATCAAATTAGGTATTATAAATGATTGTCACACTTATATTCGGAAAGTTTAAAGTGATTTCAATATTAAGAAATTTTGGAGCTATACTTAAATTCGTTCATCTGAAAAACAACAATGCTTTAATAGACAGGAAATTATTATATTATTTATTAAGTTTTGGTCTTCATCTTTGAACCTAAATGGCTTCCTGTTCAGTTGAAGATAGTGTAGTAAGATATTATAAATAAAACAAGTAGATGTACTGAATACTAATTTTTGAAGGTTTTTTTATAACGTTCACTGTAACTGTTAAACTGTTAAAATTCAGAATATTATACACGGAAATCTACATATTATATAGGAAATTCCTTAAAAGATGGATTATATCATCTACATTTAACAAATGTTAAATTCAATAACTTTTCGTATCTATTCATAATGTCAAGTGTTCCACAGGGTTTAAACACCAGCCCACTTTTGGTTTCATTATTTATATACATATAATATTGAGAGTATCCGTACTCTATATCTCTTTATGTTGATGATCTAAAAATGTCATCTGATTCACTGCTGAAGAATTCAGAAGCTGTTGTTAGGAAGACTTACTGTAAATTTAGATTTCAAAATGGGAATTACAAAAATCTTGTCCCAAGTAAACACAGCTTTTAATCTTTTTTAAATCTTTCACACGTGTATGGAATGCACTGAAACAGTTCAGTTCAAATTTGTTAATATAAGTAAGTACTTAACTACAAATTTAAAAGGCATTTTCACTTCGGATTAGCATCAAACATTAAAGACTGAAACACCACTAACTAGGTATGATCGAAGCTCCTTATTAGTATACTTCAAAAATTGTACAATAAATAATTTAATCACATTGATTTATTTTCTAATTCACGTTGGGAGACTATATGTGTATTTTTCTCTTTATATATCTAAATTTTATTTATCTCTAGTATGTTTTTGTGCATCGTTAACACATTTCAAATCTTTTGTTTAATTGAAATTGTTTACTAAATTCTGTTAAATTATAAATGACTGTATATTTCAGTGAGGCAATCGGTTCCTTTAACGACTGGTGCGATTGGAGAATTCTTTCATATTTTTGTATGCTTTTCAGTGATTATACTAATTAGTATAAACGACATAAACGATAATACTCCATACTTCCCGGAGGCGATTTTGCCGGAATTCGGAAGAGAAAATAGAACAGTTCAGGAGTTGGCACCAAAATGGACATATGTCAGTTCCATAGTAGCGATTGATCTTGACGTTGGGGACACTGTAACATACGACTGCACGTAAGTAAATTAATACCTAGTTATTAATGATACTTAATTGACATAGAAGTAGTAGTCATAAATCTTTTCAAACATGTTTACCAAATACATGAATAACTTCGAGAATGTCAAATACCTACAATCCAGATAAATTATAATATCTACTCTGTTGACTCTTAAAGTTGTTATATGATTAAAAATTTTAAAGATATTGCAGAGATAGTCTCCAAAATAACTGACATCCAAACTTTACAGTATTTGCTGTGATAAACCAATAAACGATATCGAATTAATTATGTCTGAATATAAACTACATACTTTACAGGCCAGTTGATCCAAACTTCGACTGGATTGATGTCAATGAAGCAACTGGTGTATTGACTGTAAAGGACTCAAACCTGGTAGATGCGGATAAGGACAAAACATTTTATTTCAACTATTCTTGTACTGCTAGCGATAATGGCTATACACATACATCCGACCCATTGATGGTAAGTAATTATATAGTACCTACAAGAAAGTTTTATACAGCATGGGTCCTCATCTTAACCGTTTTAGAGAAAACAGTTTATATGCAGTTATAACCTTATTTTATGCAAAAATATGAGAATATCTAAAATATCTTTATCAGTATGAATGATTGTCGGTCGGTAGTAATTCAGGTCAGTATGAATGATTGTCGGTCGGTAGTAATTCAGGTATTAAATTATTATCATCCATTTTCAGTTGTCAGTTGACTACAAAGTGATTGTTAGCTATCATGTCCTTTATTTTTTGTGTACTATTTAATTAACATTATGAGGGAAAGCAAAATGCAGCTTCTATGAAGTACAATGTATTTATGGAAATCGATATCGAGATATTGGCAGAGTTATTCCTTGCCATAAACTAAGACTGGTATAATACATTTCCGTTTAAATAAAGACAGGTTCTAGATACCTACTGTTAATTTATTAATGATCAGTGCTTATCATACTTTTAAACAATTATTATACTCCTATCATTTATTTCATTTAAATATTTATTTGTTTTAATATATAATTGCCCAACAGCTGAAACCATTTACAGAACAGGTTAGTCAAACAAAGTAAGAAACAATATATAAAAGAGACAAAACACAAAAACGATAAGCATATACTAATTTCTTAATCATAGTTTTGATTTTAGAAGTAGAAATATGAAATAGATCAATTGAGACCTGCAGAGATATAAATCTTGCACAATTGATACAATGAAAATGATGACAAAATATGCGTTTTAGTTATTGGAAGCCTATACCTATGTGCGGTATTTCGAATTTACACCAGGTATATGACATGCCAAAATTGTCAATGTTTGTACTCGGCTAATAATAAGTCATGGGGATGAAATCAATTTTACTTAAAATAAACTTTCATTAAAAATTTTCTTTTTACATTTTCAATCGTATGATTCAGACTGATATTTCTGATATCAGACTGGTCTGAAGCATACGTATGAAAAATAAAGTAGTTCACTGTATAATAAAACGCATATATTTATTAAAAATTTAATTAGTATGATGGTTACATGAGAGTCGAAGAATCATAGAATCCTAGATCATTCAATATATTAGATCTTGGAAGAAGGGTTATCTTTTATAAGAAAAGATTAATCTAATCTGCTTGCTAGATAATAAGAATACTCCACTTTTTAATGTTCAAGTTGATATTATTTCAGTTACACCAACCATTAATTCGATCAAGGTTATTCTGTAATAAATCACGTTACTCAAGGCAAGAAGGTACCACTAATATAAATTTTAAATAATAACGGACCTAAAATTGAACCCTAAGCAACCCCAGATAATACGCTAAATTCTATCGACTATTACTATTGAGCAAATGTTATGAAGATGCGAGTTAAATACTTTACACAATTTACCAGAAACATCAACACAATTAAATTTGTCAGGAAGAATCCCATGATGGGTCAACATAAATTGCATCAACATGACCTGAATCTGGTTTTTATAAAGTCGAGTTGACTTTATGACTCACATTCAGGAGAACTGAATTCCAGTTTCAAAAGCTTTCGCCAAATTTGATATTTTGTAATTGGACAATAGTTTTTTACGCTACATCTGTCCATCATATCCAGTGAGTGTAAAAGTTTACAGTGGCATATTTTCCATAGAGCTAGAATTTCTGCATATAAGTGGCTTATAAAACTAAACCATACAATCAATTTAACCACAAGACCAAATTTTTATTGTTCACAATACTTATCGATGGAATATTGGATTGACTATAATTCGCATGAGACTATAAACATTTAACAAAAATTTTCTTTAATGTATGGAGATTATTTAATTGAGCCATTTATTTTTATTCGATGACTAAATGGCAAAACTACTTCGACTTTTTAATTACAATAATACTAATTCTGTTAGAAAATATTTCGTATAATGTTTTACAAGAAATTGGAGCTCCTCTACGTATTTTTTCAAGGTGTTCAATATTAGTTAATATTTCGGTGATAGATTTGGCCTGCTCGGTCACCAAATCTTAATCCTTTAGATTTTTGTTTATGGTGTTATATATGATAATTATTATTGCTAAATAATACCGAAGGAATAGGGCTCTTTTTCAATATTTTTGAAATTATTAGACTTATGCAACAAAAGGTTTTTGTGTTTATTTCATATTATTCAACAAAAAATTTAAAAAGGTATTAAACTAAATAAGACTTTTATTTTTATAACGAACTATTTTATTTCCAAGTAATGTTAAAATGGATGGTTTACCTATCTAACTTTTGTTCATAATTTAGATCCCCTTTTATATAATCGACACCAACAACAAAGTTCCTGTTATAACGATTAACGATATGGTATCTGTTGATGAGAAAAGCGAACCAAATAGAGAGGTTGCTGTAATCGGCACTCATGACGATGACAGAGATAGTAAGTTAAATATTTAATTTGCACAATCAAAATATTGTATCCCTTGTCTTCTACTTTTAAGGCTGTTTTTTTTTTTTGGATATACTTTAGGAATTTTTTTTCATGGAACTGGAAAAACACACTTTAATATTATATTTATTAATTATCTTAATTATTCTAGTTGAAAACTAGAACCACTAGTTGTCACGATAATGTCACTTTTTGACTGCTCAAGGCGGTTTACTTGAAAAATATGATAGGGAAATTAAACATTCACACTGCAAATAATTATTTCTACCATTATTGACCTTTCAGCTAATCCAAGTTTAACGCTTCGAGTCCCGGGTGGGTACAAAGTACCTACAGTATTTTATTTCAATTTTCATATCTCCTTTCTATTGCAAGAAACGGCACTACTAACGCTACCTATAAAAATTTAAAAAATGTTAAAGTTTATGTACGAACAACCCATGTACTATAGTTGGTATGCTTGCAGCATTCGTTCAAAGTTGGAGTGTGGATACAGGGTGATTCACTGTATTTTGAATCCCTCATTAACTTTTTTGTTTTTAGAGTTATAAAAACATGTGAAATATAAAAGTTGCACGATTTTTTATGAAGTTTTCGAAAATGATAGTAGAAAAACAAATGAAGGCGAAACAAAATGGCCACGGATGTTAACTTTGTTAAAAAGAACACTCTGCATATTTTTACACATTTGGATAGAGCGTTCCCTGTCGAGCATAGTAATATAGAGTTTGTTGGGCACATATGTAACAGTAAGCGAGATACTAATAAAAAGCGAAAAAAAGGTTTTTTATTAACAAAATAAGATATCTTGTAATTAATTCTTAGACTTCTTTCAGACATTTCTGCTTTTTTTCAAATTACGTAAGGATTTACAAATTTAGTTAAATATATTGTAACAAACCGGACATTGCTATGGTCCAAAATATTTAAAGGTATTTTAACTTAATCTCAATAATTATATTATGTGTTATATGGTGGGTAGTGGCAGTGACAGGTAATGTCATGACAACATTGTTATTGTTTGACAGTTTGTATTATTATTTAATTAAAATGGGTTACACAGAAGTAGAAAATTGAAATATTATAGGAATTAAAATAGAGTAAAGTTATCCATATTCTATTTTAATTTCTAATAATATTTCAATATTTTGTGTAACTATTTTAATTAAATAATAAGACAAACTGTCAATCAATAACATTTTTATCATGATATTACTACCTGACACTGTCATGACCTACCATATAGTAATGTCCATGAGTGAGATTTAGTTAAAATACCTATAGGCATTTTGGATCGTTTGTCAAAATATATATTTATTTGTAATAAATCTGTAAATCCTTAAGTAACTGGAAAAAAAGCAGAAATGCCTGAAAGAGGTCTAACAATTAGAATGATGTCTTATTTTCTCAATAAAAATCCTTCTTTTCGTGTTTTAATAGTATTTCGCTTATTGTTAGAAATTGACCCAACAAACCCTATGTGGTTATGTTTGACAGTGACCGTTCTATCCAAATATGTAAACATATACAGGGTATTTCATTTAAATTAACAAGGTCCACGGCCATTTTGTTTGGACTTCATTTGTTTTGTATGATTTTCGAAAACTTCATAAAAAATCGTACAACTCTCGTATTTCATAGTTTCTTATAACTCTAAAAACAAAAAAGTTAAAGGGGGTCAAAATATAATGAATCACCCTGCACAATTAACACCACTCGGAGCGACGCGTCATTTTTTCGAGTTTTCTATTGTTGTATTTTTTCAGTTTTTTAATTCCTGAGGAAGTAAGTAATCATAATATTCAATATCTTTCACCAATTCTTTTTTAATACATTTTTTACTAATTTTTTACAGTAAAATGATCTACAATTTTCGCAGGAGAGCCATCAATGATATTATACAAGATCATGAAGCTTCTGATGAATTCGTAGATGAATTATCAGATGAAGGAGAATATTGTTTTTCCGAACATTCAGATACAGAATTTGCAGAATCTGAGAAATTTTCAGATACGGAATCTACAGTATCTCAGGAATCCGAGGAACCAGAAGCAGAGTATGAAAACGCAGTGCTGAATAAAAATATTAAGTGGTATAATGTATTTTAATATAATTTCAAAGTAAATTGATTTATTCAATAAAAAAAACATAATTTTATTCCTAAAATACCTAAAATAAATATACCTATATATTTCAAAGAAGTCAATTTGTTTTCCTTCAAATATTATGCCTTGAAATAAAAACACTAGATTTTTAGCTAAAAATATTGTACATTAAAAAAATTATACGATGAAAAAAAAACACTTTTCATTTTCGACGTTTTTTTTTAGAGTTATAATAAAAAATTGTTGCCTTAAATGGAGACCACATTTTTAAAACATTAAAATGTACCCTCCAATGCTGGCATAAACAAATAATGGATACTTTAGTAAATACAACTATTTAAAAATTGCCTTGGGTCAATAAGACCCCACGGGGGCGCGGTGATTGAAAATGAAACCCGGGGCTCGAAGGGTTTTACCATAGATACTTGATTGGACTCCCATTTACACAAACTATATAATTTCATAAATTTTAGGAAATTTAGAGAAGGGGCAGTGTATTTTATCTTTTGATTGCAATAACGTTTACTATTTTACAAAAATAAATAATTAAATCGTTCCTTTGTAGTTCCATTCCATACTGTTGCGTGTTATTTGGATATGACACAGACGTGTGCAGATAAATTTATAATTGTCAATAATGTAATATTAGTGAGAAATGGCTATGCGGATATAGACAGAGACTTAGGAGATTCAATTTATATCTGCCCTATGACATGCCAGGACAATCCGCACTTTTTACAAAGTAAGTAAATTCTCAGGAATATATTATTTTGATAGGGAAAAATACATAGAGCGTGTCCATGGATGGAGTTGAAAAAAAAAACTCTTAATTTTTCATTTTACAAAGTCACTCAAAAACTGTGTTTATGTTTTATGCACAGAATAGTTATTTTCCGAAAACTCATCAAAGTCGACATTTTCGTTAAATTTTCAGTTGACAAAATGAGTATTTTTTGTCACCTACCTGCAAGCAAAATACTTTTATGTTCTAAAATGTTCTTATATCATCTTAATAGTTGGTATTGATGTTGATTGATTGTTTTCTAACTAGTGCTTGTTGCATCTAAACTCGCAGTTGTGCAAATTACTATATCTGACGATATTGGGTACCTATTATTTTTCAGTAGGTAATATGAATATTTAAAAATAATAATAGAATTTTACTGTCCTTTGAAGAAGATAAAAATATTCCAAGAAGCTAAAAGTGTGTTTCCAAAAAAGTGTACAATAAATTCGGAAATTTGTGGAAAAAAGAAAATGTGGACTATAGTTCCAAATTGTTTTGTTTTTGATAGAAGGGAACCAAAGATGATTATTTTTGCTGCAAAAGGTAATAAATTCATTCAAATTAAGGAATAAAATTCTCATCAGATGAACTCATAGTTATACGCTCTTTGATACAAATATCTAGGTGTGCTAAAAAGTAGCTAGTTTGTCTATGAAGTTATTTTCATTCACATCGATGATACTTTTTGGTACCTATATTTTGTCAATCTGTGAATTTGTTGGGAAGTTGTCTTGCAAATAATAACTGCTTATAATGAATAAAACTCTTACAAGTTAGCTGAAAAAATAATAAATTCGATGTTTTTAACATCCTTACAATCATAAATGCGACATATTTCACTGCAATACACTAATTTTATAAAATAATGTTTGATTAAAAAAAAATCTACTTTGACAATAAGTTAATGATTTATCGAGGGGTAAACCGCTCCCTGAATTCTGTACAAAATCCTTCTGCTGTACAAAGACCTTCTCTAGACTGCTTCGTAATTCCTCCACATAAATGTTTAACCTTCTCCGCATTTTTCTATTAAAGATAATACTGCGCATGCGTTTACCGTTCGCGCATGCGCAGTTTGGTTCCAACTTCCCGACTTCCTCCTAACTTCCTCCAGACTTCCTCAACTTCCTTGGAATTCCTAAAAACTTCCCCGACTTCCTTCAGAATTCCTTTCATTCGGAATTCCTTTCAACTTCCTCAGCTTCCTTATAACTTCCTCCAACTTCTTCCCGACTTCCTGGGGACATGTACAAAAACTTCCTCAGCGGTTTACCCTTCGTGATTTATAGAATAAAATTGTCTTATTTTTTATGTTTCACCACGGATTAACTACAGCTTGGAGATGAAAAATAGATTGATTTCCTTTGTAATAAGAACTAATTCTCAGTTCTTTATAGATGACAGGAACCCCAATTATGTATCCAAAATAATAAGAATTCGGTTGCTGGATATTAACGACCACGTCCCAGAAGTTTTGACTACGAAGTTAAGCACTTCTGAAAACGTTGAAAAGGTACGTTCAAAAATATTTAAATTATATATTTTTATTCAGTAACACATCCAATCTGATCCTGGCTACACTATTAGGATCGCCTGATATAAAAGATATATTTGTTCGTGAGAAAAGCTCTGTACCTCTAAAAATTTATTTAGATGACTATAAGTTTATAATTTTCAATTTGATTTCAGGGTGACATAATTGGAATAATACTAGCAATGGATATAGACGAAGGCGATAACGCTGAAATAGATTTTGAAATCACAAGAATTGAAAACTCCAATGGCGAAGATAGTTCTAGTTTGTTTGATATTACTACAGATGAAAATTACTATGTGGATTTAACTCACAAGCAGGCAAATCTGATTGCATCTGAAGATTTGAGAGGGGCGTTTGGAAATTACACTGTAGCAATCCGGGTACGATTAAATTGATTTTAATAACAAAAAATATGTAAAAATAATAATAATGAAATGAAACTAAAAGGTAGACGTATTTCAATGATAACATTTCTTGAAGTCATAAAGTACATACAGAATTTATTCATTCAAGCCGTTAAATTATCTCTTTTATCTTTAATATGAAACATAATTCATTTTTTATTATAGAGTGTAACAGTGGAGCTTTTGTGTTTGTTGAGGAATTTTTCGATGCTATTATATCTGGATTTAAAATGAAATTTAACACTTTTTTATTAATATATGTGCTTTCCAGGTTGCACCTGTAAAAAAATTAATTTAACTGTGCATTAATGTGTATGTATTTCTATTCTAGTAATATATAGTGCGGCATTGAAATTTTTAAAGTAGGTAATTTGTAATTTCCGAGGTCAAAAAGGAAGGTAGCATTTAAAATTTTGAATTTGATCCTCAAACGACCTTGAAGTCAAGGACAAGGTCATCTTCAAGGTCATGTCAAGAAAGCTCCCCTTTTTACCCTACAACTTTTGTATAAAACATTAAAAAAAAAGTGATCACAACAAGATACTCCGTTGTCTCAAAGTTCTTGTTTTTTTTGTTTTTATGCCCATTTTATGGCCAAAATATGGGTTAAATTGAAAAAATAATAAGAACAAAAAGTTTCTTTTTTCGTTTTCAATCGAAATCCGTGGTAAAAAAATGGGTGTTTCTATTTTAAAAAAATTACTTCCGGTCTAAAAACACCACTTTTCGGTCAACAACGGAAGTTGTAATATGGACCTTTCAATGGCCCCCTCAGTGCTTTACAATTTTTGGCTGAAACTTTTTCAAAATAACCGAGTCCAACTAAGATATTATTTTGTCTCAAGATAAATGCCCCACTCGGTATATCCACTACAATTAACGTCACGTTGAAGAAAAAATTTAAAATAAGTTAAATGAATATAAAACTTTCAATTTTGACTTTAAATAATGGTCGGTTATAAGTTTTTATTATATTCCGTATCTCCCCACATTATAATATTTTGTTATCTGATGGGTCAAGCAACATTGAAATAAAGACGTTGATGTGCTGACACGGATAAAAAAAGTATTCTTAAATCATATTAATATTGTGTTGTGTGTAGTTCTAATCAAATTTTTTCATTAAAGTGGTGATTTAAGAACTAAAATTTTTTAATTTAACGCTCTTGATCGTCTTTTTTTTATGGATAATACTGCAATAACTTACATGTGTGATAAAATCATCATACTAAAATTATATCTTCTTTACTAGATGATTCTCTATTAGAAAAGAACAATTTCGGATAATCAAAACATCGTTTAATTATCAAATTAATCTGGTATGTTTCAAGGAAGTATCAATTGTTAAACCTAAATTGATTGGTTGTAGTTCAAGTAGATCATCAAATAATTTAAAATCGTTGCGACTTTAGATCGAACTCTAGCAGCGCATCTTCCACATTACATTAGTTTAGATTTTAAAGGATTATAAAAACAATATTTATATATTTGAAACAGAATTTAAATAACTGCTTACTATGATTAATTTGTTGTTTTCTATTTTCTTTGAAAAAATAATATAACTGTGTGACGTCAACGTAAAAGTGTGATTTGCATTGAGATATATTTTTTCACACTGAGAGGTATAAATCATAAAAAATAAGGGGCCTAAAGTAGACCCCTGTAGCACTGCGCTATTAATTAGTGATGATATTTATATACAATATTGTTTCCTACCAGTAAGATAGTTTTCAATTATAGAAACCAAATCATTATTAAAAACCAGTATAAAGCAGCAGATGATTAAGAGTAAGGCAGTTAACTTATTGTCAGGATTCTCATTATATTATACAGGGTGTCCCTAAAAGATCTTTACAACGCTCCACTAGATACAGTGTTGTTCAAAATAAGTCAATTTAGCTAAACTTACCTTAGTTCAAAGTTGCTCCGTTTATTGAGTATACGTCTCTGAAGTTACAATAGTGAAATCTTTATTAATTCCATAATTCTACACCAATAGAAGAAAAGAATTTTAAATATAACATTTAGATTAAGTAAATTATTTACTACAAAAAAGGTACTCTTGATAAGACTCGATAACTCTCATGAATTATTTAAAACTTGTAATTATAATCATTGGCAGCAATCTTGACACAAAAATTAAATGTTTAGTGGGCTTTATTGTCTTAAAGAGCGGTGTCAAATTTTAGAAAATCGCATAAGGCGTTTTAAATTTATAAAAAATTCAAAATTTTAACTTCAAGGCCGTAAACCGCCCAAACGGAGCAACTTTGAACTAAGGTAAGTTTAGTTAAATCGACTTATTTTGAGCCGCACTGTATCTAGTCGAGCATTGTAAAGAACTTTTAGGGATACCCTGTATATTATGTGCAAAGGTACTGTACTGCTAACTATAATTTGAACGAAATTATAAGATTTCATTTGTCTGTAAGCAGAATTTTCAAATTTACCTGCAAATGTATATGAGGTTCAAACTTTATTTACTAGTACGGAACATAAAAAAAGAATAATAAATAATACTTATTATTTTTATAAATTAGCTGCACGCACTACCACTTCCACAAAGAAATATACCGACTTATCTGTAAACTCATTCATTACTCTATAATCTTGAGATCTCATTTTTTTTATTTACAAAAATATAGCCTCTTAGGTATTAACAGATTATATAACTTTTTAGGTTGCCGATAGAGGGGATCCACCTAATGTAGCTACTTATTCTGTAACTGTAGAAGTTCAGAAATTCAACTTTGCACCTCCACGATTTATATATCCAATTAAAAGTGGCAAGAGCGTCTTTCTATTGTGAGTAAGTAATTGTTTTTGTAAAATAACCGATAAACCCATTTCTTTATTCAGTATTCTTATTTTGTCACCATATCCACTCAGACGTGTAGAGAACAACCAGTTTGATACAGACTCAGTCTTAGGAATAACTTAATAATTTATATAGGGTCCTCCGTTTAAAATTCTCTAGTACGATATCTTGTAAACCATAAAAGATATCTAAACATAAACTATGTAATGTAACTGTGCAATACACATAAATTACTTTATCTTGTTTTCGGGTATTATCACATTCCATCCCCTTCTCTTGCTGTTGTACCCTGAGGGTTCCTGCATAATCCACCAACAACGTACCACCTCATTGCAGACAGGGTACATTTTGACCCCTTTCCACCGCGGCTCCCTCTGTCTAACAGTATCTGATGTTCTCTTTGGATCAAATAGTAGGACACGCTCTCTGTTATTTGTTTATAACTTTATCCTTGGTATGGCACTGGTTTGGTAGAAAGGTTTTCAAGTGAGTCGTTTTCTACTGAATTGTTGAGTACTTTTTGCACATTGTCTAATTTTTTAATTATTTCTCTGTCTATTTCTGGTTTTTGGCACTGCTTTTTAAGTCTGGCTTTATTCCTTAGAATCTTCAATCCAGACACAGGAAGTCCTCAGCGAATTGGACGCTAGATGGTCTGGTTTTGTGCGGTCACAACAAATTTTTAACAATGTTCTAAATTGCAAAAAGTTTATTTCTGTAAATTTTTACAATAAATTAGCATGTCACAAGTACAGCGGTGCTATGCAATGCAACTATGTAATATAGAAGTTGAATTCGAAAAAACTGTTTTTGACATTTTAGGTTTCTTGGACCTGTCGTGTAAATCCCATTGGTAGTTATTTTCCTTTAAATAAATTCAAGGTATTGAATGAATTCGGGTTCGTACTCCACTGGTCAAAGATTGATCGGTCTAGTTACTGCAACATCCCAAAGTTGATATTAGATCAAGACTCCGCGATATCTCGAAGACTGCTGTTCGTTTCGGATCTTGATACTTGGCTTCGAAAGATTTATGACTGCTGATTTCTCCTTTGCGTAAAAATTCGGAACTGGGGCGAAAATTTGGCGTTCCGCGAGAGTCACTCACGATAGTTCTTGTTGTCATCAGACTTAAATATTTGGAACAGTTTGCGGCTCTGTAGACAGTTCGGCGGTTGAATTCGAAACATACATAAAATTTAGATCACTCAGTAACTCTTGCTTCTTTAGGGTGGTCGGCTAGATGTCCTTTAGCGTCGTTAACTACTTTTTGCTGGATTTTTCGCGCGTAGAAGCTCTGCAAAAGGTTATGAAGGTGATATTCAATAGTTGAATGAAATTCGAAATTACTCGGGACAGTATTGCGCTGCGACCCCAAGAAATCTTTCGATAACTGGAACTTTTAAAAGTAATCCATGTAGTTCAATGTAAATTTTGAGCAAAGCGTATGAATTAATAACTTTAATAATATATACGTTTTTTGTGGCTAACTATAACATTCTTAAATTAGGTACCAAAAAAAAAAAAACAGAAGTTCCAATAAAAAGTAATTTGCGATCAAACAGGAAGCTGAATAGAATAAGTTTTACTTCATATCAAAATACTTCCGAACACAGAAATTGATCATTTTAAAAACTGATCAAAATTTAGTAGATTTTCACATCAATCGATCCAAAATTCATGTCTGCGAAAATTTCTTTGGTTCGCTGCTCCATTTATATTTTATATAGCTATAAAGACTAATATCATTTGAACTGTTGCTGTAGAACTTAGATTATCCTCCTTTGGTCTTAGGTATAGAGCTGAGAAATTTTATACGGAACACCCTGTGTGTATATTTATACCTATCTCCTAATGTTCGAGATGGTCACGTTAAAGAAACGAGTGCATTTGACAGTGCATTTCAAAGGGTAGGTATTGACATATTATGTCAAGCTGTCAGCAGACTTTTTGGGAGAAAATAATGCGATTTGCCTTCTGTTGGTTTCTTTTAGACGCTTCTTTTTCATGACAGGGTGTTAAAATTATAATTGAATAAAAGATTTTTATTAATAAATCCGATGTGTTTTTTAAATATTCAGATCTTATGCTGCTGATAAATCTTTTGTGTAATTCTGTTGAAATAAATCTTTGCACGCATGGAAAAAAGTAAATCATAGTATCCATTGCTCGCAGCAACAGTTTCTTAACACATCTCTGGTTTCAGAATATTAGATAGGTATCTTTAGGTTATTAAGAAATTACTTAATCTTATTTTTTCATTCATGCGAAATTTTATTTTGAGCTTGGTTTACAAGATGTTGTGATATCTGGCAACCGAAGTGTACAAGCTTCGCTAACCAGATAAACTAAGGGTTGCCTACACATTTGACGTTTGGAGGCCGTTTATTATTTTTAACTAACCTTTTCCTCCGTGAGCACAACAATTCTTTCTCCCAAAATTACACAAAAAATATGTCAACATGATGTCTACAAAATTTAAAATGATTATCTCAAAAACTTAAATTCTTAATAAAAATCGTTTTTTAAATTCTAGTTTTAGCACCTTATATAAGGAAAGTTCCATCATTTTTAGCCACAGAATCTATAACTAACGGCTTCAACTACTTCTTGTAACACCCGTGTAAAATATATATTATGTCATAACATTCTGGTGGCATTATTTTCATTACTATATCTGCTTGAAGACAAAATAGAAGTGTGCATCACATATTTTTTATTTTTAAGTTGAAGCTGATTGCTACAGCCAGAGTGGAAGAACCCCAATCTGGAGAGGCTTCTTATACAAGTGAGACGAACATAACAATAAACTTCTTAAGAATAGTATAACATTTTTAACTAATTTATACAACTAAAAAACTATTAAATTAGGAACATTTAAAATTTAACTACACGCTCATTTTCAATCTCTAAATTGATAGTTGTAATTTTACTCTAACTGAAAATTGAACTGAAACCATTATAAATTTGTTTTCAATAGTGATATATTTTTTAAGTAACCGAATCTAAAATTGTTCTTTTCGTATATTTAAAATATATTTATATGCTGTTCTATACTTTATACTATGTAGAATAACGAGAACAAATATATCACGTATTGAAAATGTGGAGTAATCAAGTTCTGTATTTTATCTTTTTTACTATTACTATTCATTCATTATTTAGATGTATTCTGTTGTAGTTATATGTCCTATTTTTGTATTCTAGGCATATTTTCAATTTTAGTATAAATATAAACGTAAATGTAGTAATAAGTTTTTGTAATCCTTCCAATAGTTTTAGCTTAATCCGTTACCCTTGCATGAAAAATAAAGTTCTGTAAAAAAACGCACTTACCTTACAGGTACACAGAATGTTTACAAATTTGGAAATCAATTCGTTAAGGATAAATTTGTTTCCTTGAATTAACACATACGAGGTAAGAAGAAGGAAAAAATAAATGCTGAAATTACAGAAAAAAATAAATGCGAGCATTTCATAGCTGCTGAGATATAGAGGGAGTAACACGTCGCGTCGTACTATTTAGCACACGTCAAATTTTGCTAGTTTGTTCCACCAAGAACAGATTAATGCGGGTGAATGGAAAATATCTTATTAGATATACTTTCAGTAGTATCAACAAAAGAACGATTAGTTCGAGTGGACTTTGCTTTAGATTTCGAGCTCAATAATAACATTTGGCAACAGTTAGACCTAAATATCTCAGTAACACATCCAAAAAAATTAGCTTTCTTCAATAAGACTTATCTCACATTAAGAATAAATATGAAAATTGCTAAACAGTTTGCTAAACACATTGTATCTGAAATTATAAATTAAATGTCGTACGTTCCTCATAATGTGATATGATAAAAAGCTTATGTTTCAGGTTACTGACTTTATATCCGGGGAACTCAAATTTTCACATTATTTTTACCCTTTACTTTGATGAATCGTGCACCAAAATTTTCAGGGAATAATGAGTCTTATAAAGTGGCTTTTATGAATTAATTTCATTGAAAAAAGTGAAGCGGATTGTGGATTGTATTAAAATTGAGTAGATAGTACATCAATCTTGTCGTAATTGATGGATTCTCTGGAAAAGCCGTTGTAATCAAAATATTAAATTACCCATCTGCATTTCAACTCGGGTAAATTCGATAATATTTAAAAAGCAAATTTCTTGTTTCCACTACACACAGCTTAGCCAATACCTTTGTTTTTTGTACAATGTTAGAATTAACCTATATGAACAGATAATATAATCTCCAGCTTAGTAAAAAACAACGGAAAATGTTTATACCTATAAAACATAATATACTATAAAGTAATAAATTATAATTTGATTTTGATTGATTTGATAAGTATAATTTTTCTTTTATTGTTATTATTTAATTGATTATTTTGATTGATTGATTGATTATTGGATTTTAATTTTTGTTCATGTGTATAAAAAAAAATCAATTTTTATTTTAATTTATTTGATGAATGGTAAATGATTATAATATTTTGGTTAATATGTGTAATTTTGTTAGAATGTGATTAGTAAAACTATATTTTGTTTAGGATGTACTATTGATTGTTGGACGCCTTTAAAAAAAAAATTAATTACAATATTTACCTGCCATGCTTATCACTATGTAAGGAACTTTATAGAGCTAGACCTCTTTCTCTCTGGGTACGCGGTTCTGGGATATTTTAACACTCTTTATATATAAATTTATATAACCTTTTTATTTTGCACTTTAAACTTTGCTTTCGTTAATTATTGATTATAGATCTAGATAATAAAAGATTAAAATTCAACTCGTAACAAAGCAGATATATTAAACATTACTCCTAGTTATAATTGACAAAATTAAATTTTTAATTACTACAAACTATCTTTTATTCTAATTTTGTTAAATATTTTTATCGATCGATATATTTTTTTTTAAGTTGAAAATTGAATTTGAATTTAAATTGTGCACTTTGTTTTCTTTTATTTTTGGAATAAAATTATTTCTCTATTTAAAAAGCAATTTCGTTAAATAATTTGAATTTAATTCTGGCCATATGATTATGCAATCTCTGATAAATCATAGGTGCATTGCAAGTTGCTAACTTAGCTTAATTACTTATCTTGATTTTTCATTTCCATGCGTTGGTATTTCTATTTTCAAAGTCGATGGTCTCTGGATACATAATAGGTCCACTTTGGATTTCCCTTTCTTACTTTCTGGTACTGATTTCTGGCACTGGTGTTCTTCAGTAAACTTCACTTGATTTTAACACTGTAGTTTATCTTTAACTTGTTTACATAATTTTTACACAATGAANGAATTCTATAAAATAACTAAAGAGAATATACACAAATATATCCTCCAATTTTTCATCAGTGAGATTATTGCATAAACAATAATTTCTGGGCAAAAGTATTAATTACAAAATTAATACGTATTACCAACAAATTCGTATTTTGCCTTGATTTATTACTAGCAGTTGCATAAACAACTAACTAGTTGGCGCTGTATTAATTATAAGATTAATATTCTCAAAACAGCCAATAGGTATTGATTCCCTATTATTAATGCACCTAAATTTATAAGAAATAGAAAAAATATACAAGTATTACTTACTGGAATCGCTCAAAAGTTTTTCCCGTAGAGCAACCATTGCATCCTGAAGGCGTTTCATCTTTGACACGGATTTCAATTGTTTTTTACACTGTCTTTTTCCCATTTTTAAAATCAAATTAATTTATTCTTACAAACATGACACACTCTACGCGCACTGAAAACGTATTGAGGATTCTTATCGAGGTAAGGCGACACGCCAGGGGTAAGCAAAAAATGTTTCCTTTGTTATCAGTGACACCTTCTAGCGACAGAAGCGTAACTACAGGGTGGTCTAGTAGAACGTGGTTAAGATGTATAATGGAAAATATCTTATTAGATATATTTTCAGTAGTATCAATAAAAGAATGATTAGTTCGAGTGGACTTTGCTTTAGATTTCGAACTAAATAATAAGAGTTGGCAACAGCCACAATAGATAAAAATTAGCTTCCTTCAACAAGACTTATCTCACTTTAAGAATAAATCTCAAAATTGCTAAACACGTTGTTAAACACATTGTACCTGAAATTATAATTTAAATATAAACATTCCTCATAATGTGATATGATAAACATCCTATGTTTCAAATTACTGACTTTATATCCGGGGAACTCAAATTTTCACATTATTTTTACCCTTTACTTTGATGAATCGTGCACCAAAATTTTCAGGGAATAATGAGTCTTAATAAAGTGGCTTTTATGAATTAATTTCCTTGAAAAAAGTGAAGCGGATTGTGGATTGTATTAAAATTGAGTAGATAGTACATCAATCTTGTCGTAATTGATGGATTCTCTGGAAAAGCCGTTTGTAATCAAAATATTAAATTACCCATCTGCATTTTAAATCGAATAAAATTTCTGGTTCCGTATTGCCTCAGGTAAATTCGATAATATTTAAAAAGCAAATTTCTTGTTTCCACTACACACAGCTTAGCCAATACCTTTGTTTTTTGTATAATGTTAGAATTAACCTATATGAACAGATAATATAATCTCCAGCTTAGTAACAAACAATGAAAAATGTTTATACCTATAAAACATAATAAACATAATTGCGATATTTTAATGATTCCATTTTAATGTATGCCTTCTTTTAGTTAAAGTGAAAACCTGTTTTGCAATAATGAGATTTGTATTTACATCTATTTAAAAGAAAAAGAAAACTGCTGGGGTAGAAAGGGAATGTCATATATCGTATTAACACATAACACATAATAACAAATTTTGCTATCCTGTTTCACCGAGGGTCCGACTTAGTGCGGGTGAATTAAAAATATATAATATTCGGTAGTATCAGAACGATTAGTTCGAGTGGCTTTTGCTTCAGACATTGAACTAGATAATATACAGGGTGATTCAGTTATAATGTCATTAATTTTAACCACGTACTCGGAAGGCCTAATAAAGACAGAAAATCCAAAATTCTCGACATTTTAAAAGATAAGCAAATTACCCCTTACCTCTCGCTAATTCGGCGCCCTCACATTTTCTGATCGGGATCCTGACGGCGGACCACAAAGTATTCGACCATCGAAGCGAAACAGCGTTGCCACATCAGAACACATAAATAACAATAAAATATTCAAATCTCCGTTAATCGCATCTTTCGCATTATTTTCCCGCAAATTTGGAAATCACGTCATAAGTACATATTCTCTATATGTAGAAAGTATGCAGAATACAATATAACCCGCAAACATTAGTTTATTTCGAATTGTTTCGTGTGTCAGTCGTAATGGCTAATTTTGTGAATTTTGAATATGCAAAAATGGTGGTTTTATATGGAGAATGTTTACGAAATGCGAATGCCGCTGCAGCAGAATATCGGAGGTATTTCTCTCATACACAACATTTTCCGAGTCCGCGAACCTTCGTGCGAATTTTTCAACGTCTTCCCGATACCTGGTCTTTGATACTGCGACTAGAACTTGCAGGGCATCGGCAAAAAGACAGAATCTGATAGAAGCTGTTTTAAATTTTGTTGAGGAGCAACCTAACTATTTCGACAGAAACCTTTTCAATGGGGTTGGGGACATCCCAAAACAAGATCTGGAGAAAAAACATGAGTTTCTAAAATAGTTAATACAGCAGTTTATTTCTGATGTCTAATACTAGGAAAACGTTTAAATTTGGCAACGCGTCAGGTCGACATCGAGTTGACTTGACAGCCGTAAATGTATTAATGCTGCCAATAGCCAGAAGCGGTCCGAAAAGAGTTTTAAGTAATAATTTGAAAATATTTTTTCAGCGTAAATTCGTATTCTACTCATTTTTCCCCCACTTCCCTTAAAACTAATGACATTATGACTGAATCACCATGTACAATAAGTAATAGCAGATAATATACAATATATTATTATTTATTCATAATGGACTGAAATTGGAGGACAATAAGGTCAAGTAATAACTTTTACAATCAAATGTTTTTTTTATTGTCTTGTATGACAAATACATTATTGTCACTCAAAAATGTAGATTACTATTAAATTACTAACCTGCAATACTTTGTCTAAACATTCCACAACCAAAAATAAGAGAAAACGTTCAAAGTACAGAGTGTTGCAAATTGCGCACGGCAAACTTTGCCTAGGGATAGAAAAAAATTAGAAAAGTCACAAATATGGGTGGGATGACGCATAATTTCCGAGATAAAGTCTTCAATTTTCAAAA